GTCTCAGGAGATCCCAAGAATACCAGCGCACAAACACCAGCTCGGGAGATCCCTCACACGCCAGCCCATAAAACACCAGTCTCAGGAGATCCCAAGACCACCAGCGCACAAACACCCGTCTAAGGAGATCCCTCACACACCAGCTCACAAACACCCGTCTAAGGAGATCCCTCACACACCAGCTCACAAACACCCGTCTCAGGAGATCCCAAGAACACCAGCGCACAAATATCCGTCTCAGGAGATCCGTCTTGACTAAAATACTATTCCCCTGCGACTTTACCTAATCTCCAAACCAAACCAACACACCCAAAGAAGAAATAAATATATGTGTCTGTTTGAATGTATTAGATGTCCAACCCTGTTTAGTGATTTACACTGTTCTTGTCTACCAATGCTTAAGCACACACGCGGGCTACAAGCTTAATATCGATGTTTAATTTATAGCAACGTGGCGAGTCGAAAATCCCAAAATAAACCTATAATTCACATTTAGTACAGTGAAGTTCTACGAATGTTTTTTCTTCACCGACACAGTCTAAGCAAATACTTGTTTGCATGGCATTGCGGGGAAAAGTTATGTAATGACATTGACAAACGAATGTTAGTATTGACAAGGCTGACCTCATAAGTCATTGAGTGGCTTTTGGTCCTAATCTTAGAAAGCAGACCTTTGTATATCACTTCGAAGTTCCACGAAGTAACCACAGATGTAAATTGTGGTTTAGTCCTGCACCATGACTGTGGACTATATTTATTTTATATAAAAAAACAATCTAGAAACGCAAGAAAGCATACAAAAGCAAGTCTTGCCAGCTCTTGCTAGCTCTATTCCACAGTCTATGAAATCAGCATAGGGAATTTTTATTTTTTAGAGTCAAGAAGGATATTGTGTAATATAAGATTTCATAGACTAAATGTTATACTTATTTTGGTTCCCTCACGATTATAGAGACTGCATGAAGGTGCCAGTTCCGTCTCTATCACCTAGTGGCCATGGGTTTTGAAGGCTTTGGTGGGTATAATGAGTACTGCTAATTTCTGGTGTTCCCCGTCGTTGCCAGAATAGTTCAAGAGCTACCGCCCCCACCTACTGCCCGAACTTTCTAGTCACTTTACATGCATTAAACAGAAAAGGTAAAATGACACCTTTGACGAGCAATGAAACACTTGTTCACATCTCATGGCTGTGTGTTATAGCAATACATGTACCCATGGCCGTTACTCCTTCTCCTGGCAGCCATTTTGTATTATGTGTAAAGTTGCAGTTTATGCGTTTTATTTCGGGTACTGTCCTAAGTTATCCTAGATTAACTCCGATAAACTCAGGTTGAATGTAGTCAACCCTGGTTGCCAGAAATGTAGTAACTTCGGTTGACTTGTCACTAAAGATTTAAAAATTGAACGCATTAGTTTCTGTGTATAGCGACACAAGGAAAGCGGATGTGGCAGATATAGCGGGAGCTATCACGAGGACGTGTTGTCCCGTGTGCAGTATCAGAGAGCATGTCAGATTACACGTTTCAAAGTGGGTAGGGGGTAGAGCGACTCAGATGTTTAATTCGTAAATAAGGGCCCATGAGGCCTATTGAGCATAGGGCATAATGTATATTTTATACTTAAACGATGAGCGCCAAGAGTATTAATGTCTCTTAAATGGAACATATTATCAAGACATACCCTTAGATTGAACAGCAACTTTGGATGTTTGCTGGATATCATAATAGATGCTTTATAGAGAGATATAGCTATATGTTTCACTGATTTTTGTCTCTCAAATTGAAAATACCGAGTACGATTGATTGTTTTGGAAATTACAACATTTAATGTTGTTGAAGACTGATATGATAGAATATGTATTTTCTCTTCAGCAGATGCAGTTGATATTTCCTCAAATATTCATAAAACGGATGATATTGATGACGATCACGACGATGATAAACATTAACAATACTTCTTCTTATTCTTATTCTTATTATTGTTGTTGTTGTTATTTAGAGATTAAAATAAATTATCATTATTATTATTATTTCTTTTTGAAAAAAATAGTGGTGGTAATGGTGTTCGATTAAAACCCCGCCAAACATATGTAGCGCATGTTAAAAGCAATTATATCCTGACGCCCATGCATTGTTTTGCTCGGTCTAGCGCAGCTGTGATAGGGCAGCTGTGTTAACACATGACATTATTTAACTTGAAATAAGGCGTTCGTGTTCCTAACACACCCTTGTTTGTGATTATATTGTTAATCTATCATACATATGCTTAACAAGTGAACTTAATTTTACATAATTCTTTTGTCACAGAATACTGAGAAGTAACAGAATCCGTGTGTTTTTTACAAGTTTTACGCCTGGAGCGATGTAAGGTCAGCTGGCGATAAAAGAGAATAACAATGTGTAGAATCCCATGTTTACATGTATATCGGCCACGGAGGATACTATTTGTCAAACGAGTCGTCATCTCAGTTGCTCTTTTGCATTTTTCAACATGATTACAGTGTGATACTGTGAAAAAATTAACGCACTACAAATGTATTAATGGGACTGCTTGACAGTTGTGGGTGGGTGACGAATAACTGAGATAAGGTTTAGCAGAAATAAATTCTTCCTGTTGAATAAATTATACTCTTCGTCTCACATGATGAAAAAAACTAACTGAGCAAGGTTACGAAAATACCACGAGTCTGAACGAACCAGACAAACCATTGGTTGACAGCATGAGCACTAATCCAAACCATTGGTTGACAGCATGAGCACTAATCCACGCCGTCACACACTATAACCACACAGGCCCCATATCTGCCCGGAGTCAGTGTGTGAGCCTGCGTTAACGCCGCTTGAACAGTATTCCGGTTACATCACGGCGTTTCAGCTTGATTTTAGAGGAAAGCTAAGTTAAGTTGATCTAGACATTTACCATTTTCCTGAAACCCATGGTGCTGGCAAACTTAGAAACATAATCATGGCGAATCCTGGATTCGAACCCGTGATCATGTTCCTGGCTAGACTAAGGGACACAACTCTGCACACCGATTGGTGCCATTATACAAATGGGCCAGCCGTGCCATGGAAGGTATATCACGTCCAACGGAGAAATAATAAATGTCCTTATCTCATTCTCGTTTTTCAGAAATTTGTGATATATAGCTTGTGATTCGTAGTCAATTTCTTTTCAGTTTCACAATGTTGGGTTCTCTCTTTACTTTAAGAATGGACAATTAGTTTCTCTGAAGTATAGGATGGTGTGCAACGGCAAGATAGACAATGTGACATTTAACACGTCATGCAGACGAAGTTTACAAAGAAACCAGGGGAAGTGTCTACCAATATTTCGACTGAGTCAGGTTAACTTACATATCTGGAATAACACGCCAGTGTAATATAAACTGTACGATTCAATGGCATCTTAAGGCCAAACGGTTTAAAACATGGTTCACGAATCCGACGACTCAAAAATATCAAACGTGAATATAAACAGTGGGGTTTTGTAATTCCGCCGACCAGAAATCATCATAATCATTTATCGACGCTCTCAATATAAATACATTATTGAAAATACTATAATTAAAACCTGTTGAGAATATATCTTAAAATCTCCGCTCTATCTTCCTTTGTATGGACATGGATGTGGCTTGCTTTGAATAAACATATTTTGCGGCCATACAAATCTCTGTAAAACGTTACTGGAAGAAACATTTGCTCTACTGAAATATGAAAAATGGCATAATGCCATATAAAACAAATACTGTATTCGACGTAATAAGCGCCCATGGCGACATTTGTTAATATATTGGCTAGTGAATAATCCCAATTAGCACCCCTGATTGATCAATGTACACAAGACTTATTTATTCGTGTATAATGCGCGCTCGTGTATTGTTATGTGCACCCTTAATTATGGGCAATTAAATTTTGGAAAATATATCTGTCATGTATAATACGCACAGACTTTTCTTTTGTATCATTTCAGGCTGTTAGCATAAGCCTCGAAATTTAGATCTTTCAACTCTTTTTTCTCACTAAAATTATATTCCAATAAGAGCCCCCTATTTTTTAATTTTGAGAGCGCCCAGGGCGCTTATTATGTCGAATACGGTACCCCTGTATCGGGAAATTCAGTGACATCCCATTTGCCCGGATGGTAAAGTCCCCAGTGAAATCATCCGGATGAACGAAACATGGTTACGGAGTAATGTCCCTTTGTTTATTTGACCAAGCTCCTTCTTCCCACAAGGTGATACCTTCGTTACGCTCCCGGCATCATCGTTGCCACTAAACTCGTTCCGCTGTTACACGCGACGCAAGCTAACCGCTTTCAGATTATGCGGACAGGAGTCAACGTTACCACCAGTGTGCAAGCGCCATCTTCAAAATTACCCCAAACCCCCAAAATGTATATTTTTGTGTATGTCTTTGGGAATGTCATTCAAGTCAACTGGGAAAAGGTTTACGACTGATTTACCATTTCCCAGATGATTTTACGTTTGTCTGGTAAATCAGATTCGTTCGAGATTAAATTGCAGACAACAAAAAAGCGTCCAACATTTCCCCGTACATTCTTAATGTACCAGTTAACATGGTAGTTGAAAAGAGATAGAAATTTAAATTGGCAAAAAAACGTATTTAGGCACATGAGGAGTATTCGGCGTCACGACAGCCATCATTTCTTGTTTGTAAACATAACGGACCCGTGGAGATCCGAGATAGAATAGGTCTTCAGTAACCCATGCTTGCCGTAAGAGGCGACTATGCCTGTATATATCACTGTACTCGACGTCCCCGAAAGTTATCGTTGTTCTTTGGTTACATAGCTCGACATTGCAAGTCCTTTGTCGAACATAGTTTCACCTGACGCTCCAACGTAGGAAAAGTTCGTTAACTTCCAATCTTCCCCAAACCCAAAAAACTAAATGCCAGACAGTTTGTAAGGTGATGTGAGTATGTGAGCGAGAAGGTTTGTGATGTCGGTCTTACCAGCGTTTCCTGTTTGTGTTTCAGATGCGATCGGCTGTTCCCAGTGCAACGTGTTCAGTCAGGGGGTAACCAACACGTGCGACAACCCGCGGCAAATGACCGACTGCTTCGCCTGCCTCAAAACATACACAAAAGTCCGGCTCCACGCCAGGATGGGGGAGTACTCATGTAAGTGGATCCAGTGTGTGTCTGTGTGTGTCGTGAGAGGGGGGGGGGGGACTTGTCTGCCAGATAGATGACATTGTTGCTATATGTATTTCTATATAAAAAATTTTATCTGGTCTCAATACAATGCACCCCAACCCTGTACAGAGAGCTAGTGTAAGTATGATAAGGTCAGTGTAAGTATAGTCAGGCCAGTGTGAGTATAGTAAGGAGGTCAGTGTAAGTATAGTAAGGTCAGTGTAAGTATAATAAGGCCAGTGTAAGTTTAGCAAGGTCAGTGTAAGTTTAGTAATGCCAGCGTTAGTTTAATAAGGGCATTGTAAGTATAGTAAGGCCAGTATAAGTTTTGTAAGGTAAGTCTACTAGTATAATTTTGTTTTTGGACCTTACGTTTGCGGTGTTTCGGCGACTGTTTTCGGAATTTGAGAAAGTCAATTCCAATTTTCAAGATTATGCTTTCTTTTGCCCGGCAGAATTCGTTCTGTTGACCTTTGCATTCGTGTTATTTTTGTTTTTGCTTTGAAGTTTTCTCAAAAGATGTGTTATTCTTTTTAGCGTTTTTGTTTTGACAGTTTATCATCATTAATGCTGGTAACATCACGATATCGTTCGATCACCAAGGCTGACCACCTGCTTCGTTTAGTTTGCCCCCATAACAAGCATAGGCATCTTCCCGGGACAAGGGAGTTAACTGACTATAAACGTCCTGTGGAAATTACGCTTTAATAGTCAGTTAACTCCCTTGCCTCGGGAAGACAGAGCACGGCTTGATGGGTACCTATTCTAACCCGGAAGTCATACGTGTCCTCACAAACAGGGTTTTATAATATGTAAACTGATACATCGTTTACACACTACTACAGTGTTACAAGTATGATCTGATGCAATTACATTGGAACACATGACATATTCTGATAGAGGTAAATCTTCATAACTGCATTGCATCAAAATATATACATGTAATGTTTTCTGACATTAATAGATATTAATATAAAATATAGTCTTTCTTTTTTTCAATTCCCAGATTCAGAGGTGATATCGCGATATTGCATCAAACAATCGGCGACTGCATTGGTTCGGGACGCCGGCTGCTACTACCAGAAAAACAACGGCGGCTACACTGAACGTTGTTACTGCTACGAGGACAACTGCAACAGCCCTGCAACGACATTCACACTGTCTTCTCTAACTGTATTAATGGTCATCGGAGCCAGAATAACCATGTGGTAAAGGGAGATAATTCGCTACTGGCATCACAGAGTTGTCTTCCTTGAATGTTGTCTCCACCCGTAAACAACAATTCGACAAAATGTAACGAGTAGTGATGAATGGTTCTTTTCAAAGAAGAGGAACATTCGTTCATATCTTGTGATTTCAGATTCATTTGGAATGTGCAATCAAATTGGATCGTAATACATTTTCCGGAAGCAGTGAATATTATTACCGTGGCGTTGAGTATGATACAAATCCATATTGCTGTCGATATACACGCCTGGTGCATTCCAAATGTGATCACCCAGTGATTCTCTAGGTAATCAGTGTGTATGTCGATACATTTAATTATGAAAACGGTGGCAGCTGAAGCAATTCTATGCGTAAACACAATGATTTAAAGACAGGTATTATTTGATTCATTTTCAAAGCCAGAGATGCCTTGAAGGTCGTATTATGCAACAGGGCAACATTAAGGCTGGCGGAGTTGCCTCCCCTAGACCTGCGATAGTTCTACAATGGATACCAAGCACAGTTAAGGTGAATCCGGGCCACTCTGTTCGTTTTATTATTTCATGTTTATTTTACCATTAGCACCATAAGGGTCACTTGGCTGTGTGTTCGAATCTCGGCTTCACTCTGACAATGATCCTCGGTCTGTCAGTACCATACACGTACTCATGGGTTTCACAAATGGGACCTTCCCCTCACGCTTCCGTGTCTTTGATGCAATACTATTTAGAAACTTTTTAGTGTTAAATGCAACCTGCTCCAAATAATGGGACCGGTTTTAAGTGAATGAATTATTGTTAATGTCTTAAGTGTTAGACCACAACAATTTGATAACTTATTTATATGAACTTTCTACTTTCTAATGAGATGAAAATTACTGCTCCAAGATACTTGTCTGTAGAAATATAATTCCTGCAGTTTAAAATCATTTCATAACATGTTCACATGACAGACCTGATCGTGTTACACTATATTGTTACACTATACAGTATCTGGTTGTATGGAAGATGACAATTTATTACCCCAAATCATATACAGTATGTTCATCGTGAAATCGCCCAGAGTTTCCGTTTTAGAACCAGTGTTACGCATTAATGTCATTTCCATGTATATGGTATTTCCCACGGTAACAGTGCACTGTTTGCTCAATCGTTTAAGGCTCTATGAAGAGTTGCGTCCCTTAGGTCTACCTAAACCTATTTTCGCGGGTTCGAATACCAGTTTCTCCCTAATAATGTTTCTACGTTCACTGGCATCATACCCGTGCTCGTGGGCTTTATCAAAGTGGTAAACGGCTAAAATCTACACATCAAGCTGACACGACGCGATATATACGGCGTTTAAACTCTCTCACACACTAAATAACTGTAATCGCTGGGCTGACAACATGCCAACTTTGGGTTTCACTATCATTAATATGTATTCATTTTTCGTTTAGAAAGATGGTTTATTGTTATATTGCTTCCTCATACTCAAAATATATTTGCTGATGATGAGAACATACATAGACCCCATCAATGTACATCAGTGACGTGAAACACTCATGAAATCATTCAGTTATAATTATAAGTAGGGAGCAGGGACGGCTCAGTCGTCGCGCATTTCTCTGTGCAGAGTTGCCTTCCTTCCTATCATCGTGGGTTCGAATCCCAACTCACTCACTCATTATAGGTAACACGTGACAGAAACTAAAACCATTTATGGTGTAATCGTGTATAGGTCTAAATAGCATTACGTCGAAACCCTTATCCATATCATTATTTTGATTTGAGGTAATATTAATTGAGTTTAAATAGGTTTCCTGCCCAGCTCTTGGCTTATAAAGTGCATAAATAATTTATACTTAAATACACGTTTTGTATCAAAGATTTCAAGGCCCATAGCAGTTTGGTTTCGTCAATAAGTCTTGGATTCGTCTTTGCGACATTTTACCGACCGAAGGTCGGGACAGTGTATTTTCTTAATATTTAATTGGCCTTTTCTTGTTATGTTTAAGATTTCTTTTCATTCAAAACATGTTTTTTATTCGTATGATGGACGTATGGAAAAAAGTTTGGACATTGCATTTCTGATTTATTCAAATGTTTTTGTTTGCATTGAAAATCTCGGGGTATTCAATAAATGAGTATTTGAAAACAATAGGTCATCTACCAAATATTTAAGGACCGAACATACACCTATGATGATGTTACCCATTTACATGTATTGTTTTGTCTAATTTTCAATTCGTATGACTACAAATTCATAATCATGTGTGTGTATTTCATTGACGTGTATGCAATGTTTTATATACTTAATAGTAAACTGATGTTGCGTTTTTCTTTGTAAATATCACCAGTTCATAACGGTCGTATATATCATGCTTTCATACAGTTTATTAAAAAAAATAATAAACATCTGACTTCTTTACGTTTTTCGATATATTTTAACCGCGAGACACACGACACACCAGCCTACACTGGTGCGTCGTTGATCCATTCATGATACACACAGCGCATTCTAGAAGTGACTGGTTGAACGAGATTATTGTCCCCGGGTCCGACAGAGGTCGCTTTGTCATACTATCTTACATGCGAGGTATGACCTTTCAGGGTAACAGTGTTACAATTATATATAGCGTATCTTTGAAGAAAAATCGGTAGAAGGGGATATATCATTTATATGTTGTTGGGATACAACTTGTAAATACGTTGCATACTTATGGACACAGAAGCTCATAAAAAAATACCATAATATGAAACTTTCGACTGTATTCTATTCACATATAATATAATAACAACTGTTAAATTAAATAACAAGTTTTGAAAACAGTGCCTACACTATCAGTCCATTTCTATTTTTTGTCTGCTTGGTAATTACTTTGAAACTGTAACAATGCAGGATTGCTCAATCGGCCTCAGAAATTAAGCATTCAAAACAATTAGTTTTCAGACCGTTAGTATTTACACCTGTCGCAGGTATTCGAAAACTGTGAAGATGGAGAGGTTACTATTGTTGTTGTTCGTCAGTTTGTTTGGATCATGTAAGTATTACCACAAACCCGTATATTGTTTAGAAAGTCTGATTATCATCCGAATTAAATAACAAATACGAAAATGAAATCGCCGAGGCACTGTCCTAAACATAAAAAGAGTGTTAAAATGGCGGAAGTGAACTCCCAAAACTGTGTCCCATATCCAATACATATTTCCGAGAAGGCATGTAGATCTATATAAATCTTATGATCGCCTTAGTATGGAAATTGTTATAAGGTATATGCTTAGGTGTACGTGTGTGATGTAATCACGCTGATAATGAATGGGTGGGGAGGTGGATGAACAAGGTGAACCGTCACTGTATGTCGGCCGGTGACAGTGCAGTTGAGCAAGATGAATGCTTCACACCTGGGCGACCACGGGGATCGGGTCCACTTGGAGGGCAAACTTGACATCACATAGCTGTTACGTCTGTTTTCAAGCATAACAGATGGATTTGAAATAAACAATTTAAGTGCGGATAGAAATTTTGAGAAATGGTTGGCACATTTTGTGCTTTGAAAATTAGCGTTTTGGAAAGTATAAAGATTTTTGAAAATATGTCACCAAACTGACCATAGTCATAGAGTTGTTATGTATCTACCCTTAGTAATATCACCAACGCAATGTCCGCATCCCTGCAACCTAAATTCAATGGACTTTGATGTAACTTTTAAACGCGTTCAATGCAGGGTTAAGGCCAGCTCACTCAGTAATTATGGGGAAGTTGGTGGGTCTACATTCTTACGTGGCGATCATAATTGAAATTTAATTCTAAGGAATGTTACTCAAAATCTGCCTTTATGTACAAACAGTGGTATGTTTGGTTCTGTAAATAGCACTGGCGACAGAACATAGACAAATATCAACATACACATGTATTTCAAATTCATCTTCATGCATGTTCTTTTATGACATTCCACACATTACAACTTATTGTTGATCATATTTATGATTTAATATGCTGAAATTAATTAAATGTGCTTGGTAAAGATGTCCATTTACGTGGCATATGATGAACGCCTTGGTGGATATCAACATAGCATATGATGAAAGCCTTGATGGATATCAACATGGCATATGATGAACGCCTTGATGGATATCGACATGGCATATGATGAACGCCTTGATGGATATCAACATGGCATATGATGAACGCCTTGGTGGATATCAACATGGCATATGATGAAGATAGATGCATGGACGGATAATCAACATGGCATATGATGAACGCCTTGATGGATATCAATATGGCATATGATGAACGCCTCGATGGATATCAACATGGCATATGATGAACGCCTTGATGGATATCAACATGGCATATGATGAACGCCTTGGTGGATATCAACATGGCATATGATGAAGATAGATACACAGACGGACAATGGCTGGCTGGATAATCGACTTGTATAGGTGGATAGATAATAATAATGATAATAATAATAATAATAATAAAGTCCATTTCTTCAGCGCCATTTCCGTCTACGTAGTCGCTCATTGCGCCTCCATTCATATCATATTTTCACTGCTGTTTTGCCTTTTGTGCACTGTAGAATCAAGACTAGTTCATATTATGTTCGTGATATTCGTTCACACAGGGCAAATATATACAGCGAGTTAGGGTTCACCCGGACGTTCTCCCAGTTCTGCCACATCTATCTCCACGGGAGAGACCAGTAGGGAGCAATGTTACACTTTATACCCGATTATTATCCTTGGTTTGTCAGCACCACCAGTTAAATCCTAGCTTACTGAGATACCATGCCGTAGTTTAACATGAATACTCAGTATACTGACTCCGAGCCGATCTGTCCTTTTTTTAGACCCTTAATGCCAAGCGCCAGATGGGGTAACAACAAGTACCATCTTTTAACATCTAACGTTTATGTTCAGTCTAAACCATGCAAGTGAAAACACTGCAAGTTGTCATTCATATGAACACGTTTTATAACTTTCACAACGATCTCTAATAGTTTTCCTATTTCTTCGAACCGATGGGGATTCCCGGTTACAATTGCTCACCAGCCGATGCTGATCGTAACACGCAAGAGGCGGTCAAATGGATCGGATGGTCAGGCTCGGTGACATATTTGACGGTGTGTCATCACACCCGAATGGCGTGGATTCTTACTCATAATATCAATCAATGGATTGTATGGTCAAGACTCGATTAGTAACAGAAAGCCGTCATATAGGTGGAGTATTGCTGAGTTCGGAGTTGAACAACACGCACACGGACAAGCGCACGCACAGGCACACATCATGATGTTTATAATTAACTAAAAGATGAATCAAGTACAAATGTATTCATTTTGATGACGCTGAGGGGATTTCGGGACAAACAGGATCCATGTACCCCATGTTTGGTCTGATCGGGACAGGAGAGACGTGTAACGCTGTTCAGAGCTATGTCCCTTAGCATGGGACCCGTGAAGATCCGGGGTAGAATACATCTTCAGCAACCCATGCTTGCCGTAAAAAGCGACTATGCATGTCGTAAAAGGCGACTAACGGGATCGGGTGGTCAGGCTCGCTGACTTGGTTGATGCATGTCATCGATCCCAATTGCGTGGATCGATGCTCATGATATTAAACACTGGATTGTCTGGTCCAAACTCGATTATTTACAGACCGCTGCCATATAGCTGGAATATTGCTGAGTGCGGCGTTAAACAACAAACCAACCAACCAACCCTTAGCATGGCGGAATCCCTTCGATCGTGGATTGAATCCCAAATTCGCGCTTTAATAATAATTAGTTTGTCAGCACCGGAACCGCGCTCGTTGGTGGTAAACGTCTAACTGGGATATTCAATGACCAAACTACTGTTTTAAGCGGCGTTAAGCCCCAAATGAGGCACGTGTGGCCACAATGGCTGCTTGTTGTGGCGCAGTTGACATATTTTTTGTTGTATGTCATGGGACTTACGTCTGGTATTTAGTTAGACCCGTCGGGAACAGCCTATACTTTTCGTAAGAGGCGACTAAATGGATCGGGTGGTCAGGCTCGGTGACTTTGTTTACGGCTTGGTTATCTTTTCCCAATTGTTGGAATGATGCTTATGAGATCAATCACATGATTGTCTGGTCCAGACTCGATTACTTATAGACCACCGTCATAAGTTGAAAAGTGCGGCGTTAAATGAATAAATGAAATTAGATTATATTTAATTGACCATGTGCACGTACTTCCCACCAGGCCACAGCATACAGTGTCACCAGTGCGCCATGGTGGGAGGCGACGACTGCGGGGACTACTATGACGGTGCGGCTAACAGCGACAACATTGACGACTGCGAAGATAAAGATACCCATTGTGTCAAATACAAGACAATTGTATGGATCGGAGACTCAGGTTATATTAACGGACGCTTGAGAGGTAAGTGAAGTATGATCGATGGACGGGATGAGGGAGTTGGGAAATGAAGGAGGGTGAGGCGAATAAGGTGGGGGTTTGGGGAGCTGAAGTGTAAGAAAGGATGACGGGTTCATCTCTACCGATCAGATATAAAACTTTCTGTGTTGCCGCATGATACAACTGTTGATTCATCGTTTGTCAAATGATGAATTTATTTTCCTTTTGTATTCTTGGTCATTGTTTCGGTTAACAAAGAAGGCTTGATTCACCAACTTCACAAAAGTTAAGAAACATGCCTGGCCGTTATATCTTGCATGTTCTAGGCGATCTAATTGACAATGCCTATTGTGCTATGCAGTCTGTTGGCATTTGTACAGTTATTGACATCTCCGTCGTTAAGAAATATTTACTTTGTGCAGTTTGAATAGTTAAATATGTGAGGCTACATCCCTTATATAAGTTTAAAGGGTTTAAAATATTAGATATATATCGTCTTGATATAGTACAAAAGTACAGGGTATATATGTTCAGCCTGAGTTCAATACTGGACCGTGAATGATATATTTCTAAAATGGATGGCGGACAAGGTTTCGGATATGGATATAACGAACGAGTTTCAACAGTCCTTTGGAGTGCGTGAAACCACGTGTTACTGTAATTACGCTGTAACCATGTGTTACTGTAGTTACCTTATAACCACGTGTAACTGTAGTTACGTTATAACCACGTGTTACTGTAGTTACGTTGTAACCACGTGTTACTGTAGTTACGTTATAACCACGTGTTACTGTATTACGTTATAACCACGTGTTACTGTAGTTACATTATAACCACGTGTTACTGTAGTTGGGGCGGTCGGGTAGCCTAGTGGTTAAAGCGTTCGCTCGTCACGCCGAAGACCCGGGTTCTATTCCCGACTTGGGTACAATGTGTGAAGCCCATTTCTTGTGTCCCCCGCCGTTATATTGCTGGAATATTGCTAAAAGCGGCGTAAAACCATACTCACTGTTACTGTAGTTACGTTTTAACCACGTGTTACTGTAGTTACGTTATAACCATGTGTTACTGTAGTTACCTTATAACCACGCGTTACTGTCCTTATTTAGTGTAAACATTTAATGAAGGCAGACAAACTTGGCAGTTGTCAAATGCTTGTGATCTTTAACGGGCATTCACACGGTACAACTAGTTGTATACAACTTGTTGTATGCAATTAGTTGCACGAACTGAAGTTGTATACAACTCGGCATTCACACGGCGGCGAGTTGCATACAACTCTGGTCTCGCGAGATCTCTGACAAAAATCTTGTGATTCACTACATTATTGCTGGAATCCTGGTTGCCGAGTTATGTTCAGACGCATAGTTTTGAAAAATCAACGCTGTGCGAGAATTGCGGTCGCGCGGTACTGGACCAACCTCTGACTTTGCAATTTAACGGACTTGTATATTATTGAATTTTTAACTCCATGGTGGAAAATTAAAAACTGGTTTGAAAAGCAAAATGTGTTAAATGTTGTCCACATTTAGAACGGTGAATTGGTAAAATGCGAAAATGGCAATATTTTCGTTGTACACTATTTTCAGATGTCGTTTGTGATACACATGCTTTGCCTAAAATAGTTGTTAATAGCATCACATAATAGATACTTTCCCACATAATCTAAAACTGTGACGTGTATTTGTGTGTATGATGTATTTTAAGTTTTAGAAACGTAATATGGACCTAATCTCATCTTGGTCTACACCACAGTGTACAGTCACATAGCCTGTCGTTTCAAAAAACACTATGATCTGTTTATCCTGGAAAATTAGACCGATGCAAATGTCAAAATATATAATTTGTTACAGTGTTATTCTACGTACCTACTTTTCTTAGGTCATTTATTGAGTGGTGACACTTAGGATACTGAAAAGCAGAAGTTACCGACGTGAATCGGAGTCGCCATAATTTGTTTACAGATTGACGTGTAAATGTCACGTGATTGTCATACGCGTTTTGATTGGCTGCGTTCATATAACTTGTCGCATGAAAACAGAGCATGTCCAATTTCGTACAACTCACGTCAAACAAGTTGCATACGTCAAAAGTTGGACCGACTTGCCTATTCACACGATGCAATGTGTTGCATGCAACAAATTGTATACAACTAGATGTACCGTGTGAATGCACCTGGATAGACAACAAAGGACCCGGATGTCGCCAAAATCATTACTTTCATACATTTGTTCAATGCATTTGTTCATACTTGCATCTGTTTCAGAGTCGGTAATAGTTACTCGTGGATGCACTAGAGAGCCAGGGTACGGAGACGGATGTGAAGGTACCCAGGCCGCCGGTGGTGTTATTATCAAATGTAGATGTGGCACGGACGGCTGCAACAGCGCAAACTCCATATACAGCGTTACGACGTTGACAACTACTGTAATACTGGCCATGGTTGTAGCTGCTTTCAACAAGAGATAGCCGGAGACTACAGCGTTTCATCACGCCATTAGCTCCGTCAATTTTATGCAATGTAATGATAAACCCCAATGTGTCTCCAATAACGATCGCTTCCACTGAATAAATGATTGGAAGAACGACTCACCAAAATTACACCAACACCAAGGATTATTCCGGAAAGGATCGAAAATTATAACAGTAGTCAAGCAATGACGTCGATGTGTTCATTTTACTGCGACACACAATCGAAATAATTTACATAATGCATTTTGTAGTTTAATGTTCTGTGTTCATGTAGATCGAGATGTGGTTGAAAGGCCGTGTAGTAAACCTAGACAAAAGTGGACAGCATTTCCTGTATCGGATAACTTGTCCGATTTTAGAGAGAAAAACACAAATCGGCATAATTCAGAATGTTCCAATCTGTAAATATGTAATATGCGTGACCGTTTATATATACTACTCCACTTGAGATAGGGGTAATCAGATAGGTCAAACTTAATACACTTAGTACACTTGACATAATATGAGTCAGTTTTGTGTATCATGGAAATATATAAATATCCCTATCGAAAGTGGAGTAGTATATAACGCTATATAATGTTTACCATGTAAAGTAGTAAAGTATTTTAATCAAGAACGTACCATTGCTTCAAGTCAGTTTTAATCCTGACATTTTGGTAACTATATTTAGCAGACACGAAATGGAGTAAACATGTCCGTCCTTGAAGACGCACCTGCTGCAACTCGCACGTGCAGATTCGAGTCTAAGGTAATTTAGGTAGGCTACCTGGTATGTTTTGGTCAAATCATTGTACATTTGTATTTGCGTTTGACCGGCCCAACGCCCAGCGAAGAAAAACACCCCCCATATTTACTTCCATAGATGTTTACGTAACATCATCTAAATGCGAGTTATTTGAGAAAGATACGAATTTAAAAAAAAGAAATTAATCACAAGAGCTTGCGTAGATATACTTCGCATGTCGAGTTCCATTTCATCGCTGTACATATTACATACATCGTTTTGGTATTTCTAGTGATAGGAATATTATATCAACATTGTGTTACGTTTTGTGAAATGAACTACATGTATTATTCATTCTAGTAAACGCATTATAATTCCTTGATTTTATGGGATTTTTCTAAACACTGATTTTTTGTATATACATTTTAATAAAGAAATTATACCTTTTTGAAGCTGTGTTGTTGGTTACACCTGTGGTTTAAGGAGTTATTACACTACTTCTCGTTGATTTTTCCCCTGGTGTAACGATACCTTCAGGTTTTTTACTAGTTTAACACCGCACTAGGCTATATGACGGCGGCCAGGCAAACCAGTTATTGATTTTGTGAGCAACCAAGTCACCGATTTTGGCCATCCGATCCATGAAGTAGCCACTATGAACAGCATGGGTTGGCGGGAACCTCTTCATCGCCAAAGGGGGGCACGGTTGGCTCAGTCGTCTAAGGCGCCGCGATTCGCTGTGCAGAGTTGCGTCCCTTGGGCAAGCCAGAAACCTATGATTGTGGGTTCGAGTCCCGGTTCGCCCCGATTAAGTTTCTAGGTTTGTCAGCACCATACCCGTGCTCGTGGGTTTCACGTCTGAGTAAGTGGTAAACGTCTAAGACCTGCATCACTTCGGGCTTTCCTCCCACATTAAGCTGACACGCCGCGATATAACTGGAATACTGTTAAAAGCAGCGTGAAACCGAACTCACTCATCGCCAAAGGCGCCGCAATTCGTGCAGAGTTGCGCCCCAGAAATATCTGGTCCTGGGTTCGAATCCCGATTCGCCCTGATTACGTTTCTTTGTTTGTCAGCACCAAGATGAACATCTAAGAACCGCATCAAGATGGCACGCTATGATATAATGATGTCATCGATCCCAATTGCATGGATCGATGCTCATGATATCAATCACTGGCCCAGACTCGATTATTTACAGACCGCCGTCATATAGCTGGAATATTGCTGAGAGCGGCGTGAAACAACAAACCAACCAACCAACTGATATAATGAACTACAATTCCAATACAAGTATATGGGTTACACCATACTTGCTCACTGGAGGAGCCAAGTGTGTCTACAATACAATGTTGTAGGGCAAAGCGTCACAGAGACCAATACTCCTGTCAAGGAGCACAAATTAATAGAAAAACAATCAATTAACTGCGGCTGACAAAAAAACTTTGAAGATCTTACATCAATCTCATTAAAATCGGATCTGAGTTCTCGATGTCACTAAACAAAGATCTGAGGACATCCCATTACGGGTCACGTCAGAACGACCTTTCGCGAACTTTGACCGACCACTGAAACGAGTAACAAGAAGTAGGTATCAGCGAGTGAGAAAGCAGCTTTCTCGAGCTTTACGGCACACGTTTCAACCTGGCGACTTCCATTTCAGACTACGCTTGAAAAATATGTTGACACAGTTAATCAAAAATTTGAAAACTGAACAAAGAACATTTCGGAATATCTAATATATGGTTGCGATTGTATGGCAGTGCTTCCCACGTACTGTGCAACGCCTCCTTCGTTCAAATGTGTATCCCACGGAAGCGAGAGATACTCAGCCGTAACTGTCGTTCGGAATACCCCGTTTTAACGTTTTCGAGGTTGCATGATTAGAAAACACATTCCGACTGTCACTTTCATGATCTGGTAAGCGACGCTTTGATTGGTCGGATGAAAGGTCGTTCTGGCGTGACCCTTAATGGGATGTCTAGCGATAGCGAGAACTAAGATCTGATTTTAATGAGATTGGAAAAGTTTCCTCTTCCTCTTGTCTTGGTGAGTTTTTTATCACTCTGAATAAACGTCTTATGGTAGCACATTTTCCGTGTAGGAACTGTGTGCTTTGGACTGCGTTAGATATGGCGGCAGCACAGGGCTGGAACAACACCTGCAAGGTCCTTCTAGAGGCGGACGCCCCTGTAGATCCCACATTTTAATGAGATTGATCTTACATCAATAGCATAATATTCAATTTCACATGATACTTCTTTAGTCTATCAAAGATTTGAGTGAAAACAGAAAACGTCGGCTGTATTCGCATTTACTGACCTTACTCGCTTCCAAAAAAGATGTTTTGCCATTGGCCAACGTTATAAATATATAGGCCCGCGATGAAATAAATGGGCTAAATTAGCACAACGAAACACTTTGTAGGCAATAGCATGATACAAACGACCATGTTACCACCCTTAAAGGTGGTAAATATTCGTAGGATAAAAATATGCATGTTCACGAATTTATTATTGAAGATTGTCTTTATTTTAAAATTTATCATTTCAAGTATCCGTGTATACAATAACGACAAGTGCGCTCATCGGCTGGTGACGTAGACACAAAAATTCCAATATTCTCGAAAAGCAACAAAAGTGTCAATATCGCTGTCTTCATATATGAATTTGCGTATCTGAGGTCGCCAACCCGCTCACGGTAGGCGGGATTCGGGATTCTATGTACTGTTTAGAGGATATTCGTGACTCAGCAGTGTGGTAGGCGGGACGCAAATAAAACGTTATTTGGTAAGCAGATTTTAAAATAAGTAATGGTGTACGTAATCAAAGTTCCTTTATAATTTTATTTTTTCAGTAATTTTACTTCGCTCACTTGTCTCAATGCTTTTGAGATTTGTGTCAAGTAGTATTCGGGATTCAGGGGTGAGCATTGAGTCTCGGTGAAAAGGTGGATGTTTTTTTCGTGATTCAGGGAAGGGCGAGGTTGGCATCCTCTAATCTTTCGAGGAACAGATTGTTTCTGGTGATACCACGTTGAGTAACTTCGTATATTGTCGGTGGGCGGTCGGGTAGCCTAGTGGTTTTAAGCGTTCGCTCGTCACGCCGAAGACCGACTCCCGACATGGGTACAATGTGTGAAGCCCATTTCTGGTGTCCCCCGCCGTGATATTGCTGGAATATTGCTAAAAGCGGCGTAAAACCATACTCACTCACTCACTTACGTATATTGTCGACGGGTATTGCAAAGTCGGTTAGTGCGAAATATTGGTTAATACGAATATTAATCCTCATAATAACGCACATTTTTACACACTGGAAAAGCGTTTTTTCGTTTATATCGAACTGATTAAATGAAGTAAGCTGAAGTTATTTATTGGTATTTTGAAATTTTTGAAAGAAAATATACACTTTAAAACTGGAATTTGACCATAAAATTCCAAACATTAGAACTAGGCTGAAAACAGCCGACGAAACGTAAGTTCCAAAATACAACAATAATACCCGTGTGCAATTCATCACCATCGAATAAGCAATTCTTGTTTGTTTATATTTTTTAGCCCCCATGAAACATCGGTGTTTTCATTCTTGTGGCGGGCAGTTTAGTACAATTATTGTTGACTGTGTTGAAAAAATTTCAATCACTTGCATCTGACGTATGGAGAAGAAAACTGATTAAGTTCTCATATATACATCTTGTTTGTTGAGGTCTGCGTTCATCATTCATTGACAATTGTATTTTACAACAAAAAAAATAGCTGCTTTTTTGTAAATTTGTTTTATATCAAACAAAGTATATCAAAGTAGAAGATAAATAAATAACAAATTTTAAAAAATACAAATGATATTATCTTAATCTCATTATTATATATGAAGATCTATTGAGTAAGAAACATTCATTCAACAAAATGAATTCAATCCCTCTGAAAAAGAAATGACGTATGTCGTCACACGAAAGGTAGTTCAGGGCTGCAATTCTGTGGTGAGGTGAGGCAAGAATGTCAGGTTAATAAACATGGAGGTTAATACTGGGATTTAAGCATTCGAGTGGGTAGCAGGAACGACACCACACCGTCAGTGAGGTCTTAGGCGTAGATACCTATAAACTTCGTCGAAGTTAAAAAAATATACATTGTAACTTTGGATATGAGAGTTAAATTTCAATAAATGTAAACAAAAGCTCTCGATTATCTGCCGGGGGTTTCCATTGAGCGTAAAAGGAAAAATAGCGACGCAAATTGTACCAGGTCAGGGCGTGTCACAGCCTATGTATGTCGGAGGAAGGATCGTAGTGATGCGGGATTTAGACATCACTGGTTGGTGAAACCAAATAACGCTGGTAAGGTGCCGACAAAACAGGGATCATATAATCAGGCTAAATCTAAGATTCGAACCCCATGTATAGGATCTTCGTAAGCCCAAGGGACACAACTATGCGACGCTTTGCCTCCCTTGTCCCTCGATTGAAGTAAGTTCGTTTATCATTTAAAAAAACCGGTAGGCGGTAAAAGTGGCACATAGATAAACACCTAATAAGGCAAAATACTAGGACTTGGACACAAGTTTGCAAAACGTATAATAAACACAATATAAATGTAGGACGAGCCTTGTACATCTGTCCATTTTCCGATCAGTTGACGTCAAAACATTTTCATGATCCTGAAAGAGCCACCTCTGAATGCATTGTGTGCTGCCACCTGAACTGTTGTACAATATACTGTACTCTATACAGTGAAACCTCGTTAACTCGAACTTCATTAACTTGATATACAAGACGATGAAAGTTTTGAGTCCTGACGAGATGATGAAATTTATGACTACTTTGAAAATGTGGAGCAGACTGAGGATGATGGGGTGTTAGCTGCCTTTGCTCATTTCCTCGTTGATCCAGACAAGATATTCTTGTTCCGCTGTCAAAGTCAGCCGCCATTTTGGTTTGAGAACGAAGCGACCTCAGCCAGCGATAGTTTCACTTGGAAGCGGCTGAAAGTTAGCGCACTTTTTGTAAGGCGAATCGCTGTATATGGCTTGCAAGCGATCGGCGCTTTGCAACGCACCCCTAATCTCTAACTTTATGGTTCAGAGTCCAGACGTTTTAACTCCACGGAACTGGCGGAATAGCTGCTAAGGCACAATTCAAAGTTTTATTACAGCAACGGAAACATCCATGTATCAAATCCTCCCCATGGTTTGAGTCAAGGTCCGGTCCTCATCACTGGAGTAGTCCTCTTCCACCCACGAGATAGTGTCCGAGTTCTTCACTATCGCCCTCAGCATGCTCTCAATGCGCTTGTTCTGCAGGTGCATGTCATGCACAACGTTCACGACCTTTCGGATGGCCTTGACCTCTTTCTGTATCTTAATCTGGGTGTTTCTGATCTCTGGTATATCCTTCTGTGAACAAAAGAAGTAAAAACTCATGAAACATGAAACCAAACGTATAACGAAATTTTGGGCCTCATATCCTATCACACCCAAAGTAATTTGTTCATGGCAATATACTAGTATATTGGATAAGATAATGCTTTACTGGCCCAAATATAATTCTTCTTACATCAGAGCATCACAAATATTATACACAACTTAACAAATAAAGAGGAGTAAACGAATACAAATACACATTTAAAACTTAGATGTAACATGGAACATAAGCATCTCTCTCTCTCTCTCTCTCTCTCTCTCTCTCTCTAAATATTACCAGAACAATATCCTCATCTTCGCCCGCGTCCGTCGTCCACCAGTTGGTGAAGGCGGCGACCACGTGGCGCAGAGGATATTTCGACTCCAGGTTGGGCTTGATGATCTTTGTCGGGCGGAAAAACCTTTGTCTGAACAAGTCGGGGAGGATTTTCTCCACATCCAGTGTCAACTCCACCTTGAACAACACGGGGAGATGAGTTAGTGCATGTTACATTCCGTCTGAATCACAATTAAATCAAATTCGTTATTTCGCACAGTTATGTATGTTGTTAAACAGAAACTCTCTTCCCAGTATTTTAGTATATTCATTAGTTGGAATATACTTTTAATAATTCCCGTTGGGTTGATTTCATGCCAACAATTTGCATTTGTCAGTAACATTGTAAGTCATTTCCACCCAATAAGTTTTTAACGTTTTGTGGATAATCCACATTTTAGCATAGAATGATACAATAACGGGAGATGTGTTCTTTTGCCTTGCCATAATTTGAATTTTCACAAATGAATTTCCCGCACATGAACGATGGTAAATCTAAAAATATCGACCAATCAGATAGCTGATTTCCGACACGCCCCAGTTCTGCGAGGGTCTGATGTCGGCCGTTTGTGCCCAGTTGGTTTCAAAGTGGCGAGTCGACCGATATTATTTCATAGCAATAACGAATAGGCACGTATTATGTATTGGGATGGATAGAATAATCACCCTAGACAAGGTAGATATGAAGTGCATGATAAGCCATTTTTCTTAAGAAACAGCGATACAAAGAGAACGGTGCTGTACAGTGCCACTTTAGGTAAAGATATAATGGGGTAGTGCATTCATAATAATCGTGATATTAATTAATCGGGAAATATTAAAACAACGTCACAAATGCCGTAATTTTTACGACAAATATTCAAATGAGCACGAGAAGTCTATTTGTGTGTCCGCCATTCCTTAGTACAGATAGAAGACTACAAATGGACAAAAAATACAAAACATAAAAGTAGTCTAGGTATCACATGTTCATTGTGGTCTACTCAAACTAAATTTAGCTATTCCCTTAAAGGCAGTCATCGACCCGTGAAGATTCGGGGTAGAATAGGTCTTCAGCAACCCATGCTTGCCGTAAAAGGCCACTATGCTTGTCGTAAGAGGCAACTATCGGGATCGGGTGGTCAGGCTCATGATGTCAATTAATTTCTGAATCCACGTGTGTATTTTGTGAGTCATACCTTAATTAAGCAAGGTCATATTTCTGTAATGCATGTTGTGTTGTCCAGTTTATATTTGCAAAATCACATTTATCACTGACTTTAGAAGAAGAAGAAGAAGAAGAAGAAGAAGAAAAGTCATCATCCATATCCCCCGTCATCCCTGTTGTTAATTGTAAATCTTTGATTTCTGATAGGCACCAGTCCTAACTATTCTGATACATTTGTCTAACGTTCATGGAGAAACACTGAACAGTTTGGCACCAGAAAAAGACCACCTCCTTTGAAATTGTTGCCTTGAAAAAAGCAACTGATGCTATATTTTTTTAATCCAAAACATCAAAGGCACCAGTTCAGCACTTGCATGTTGTGTATCATGAAGGTATATCTAACGGTTTACTAGTTGCGCTCTTGAAACGAAACCTTTCTTCATTTGTGCAAACACAAATTTAAAACAAGGGCTATAACTCTGTAAAAATATTTAATGTCATCTGCAATGGCTTGCCAGAGAGAACCTGAACAAGCAAGGGTCATAACTCTGTATATAACACTATATATTTTCGCTCAAAAAATAATATATTATTAACATTTAATATAATATAAAAATCCGATATACAGGAATTTCAAATCCTGCATATATACTGTTCAAAAGAAGTTAAAGAACTCCCACAACAGGGGTTGCTATACCCACCAGGCATGACAGATTAACTCATTCACATGAAAACATCGGGAGTTCTTTAACTTCTTTTGAGTAGTATATCTCCCGTGAAGCTAAAAATAACACGGTGACGTAAGTCTCATTCTAGGGTTAAGCAGCCCTTGCAATGAGCGATCAATGAGCAACCTTTGATGACGTGTTCACCTACCTGCATTGCCATTCGTTTAAGCGCTGCCTGGCGGAGGATGCCTTTGATGTCATCCACGGCCAAACCGACCTAGAACACAAGTTTCAGAAATAAGTAGAAAAGGGAGGGGTGACGTAAATAATTTAAGGTTATTTACACTAGTGCCTGGGCAACTCGGTATTTGTTTTGTTAGCAGCATTAATGCAGGTTAGTCCTCTGGCGATTTCTCGTTTAATGAACAATGACTGAAAGAGTATGGTTTGAGCAATATTCCAGCAATATCACGGCGGGGGACACCAGAAATGGGCTTCACACATTGTACCCACGTCGGGAATCGAACCCGGGTCTTCGGTGTGACGATCGAACGCTTTAACCACTAGGCTACCCGGCCGCCCGTTTAATACACAGGAAAACATCCTTTTCAATTTGGTTATAACCTGAGGTCCGATCAGTGCCGCATGAGTACGACCAGTGCCACAAAACGATGTCATATCACGGCATTGACTAAAGTAACTCCAATATACGAGTGAGTGAGTTAGTAAGTTTAAAGTAACTCCAATACTCGAGTGAGTGAGTGAGTAAGTTCTGAGCAGTATTGCAATTATCTCACGGCATGTCAGCTTAATGAGGGAGGAAAGCCCAAAGTCATGCAGATCTTAGTGGTTTAGTCATCACATCCGCTTTTACAGATTTTATGCCAACTTTTATCATGGTTGACTGAAGATAAACCTACTGCACGTTTAAAGATTCCAATACAGAATCGAAACAAGTAGTATTCGAAATTCGAAACCATATGCTGACCTCAGTTTTTGTACGTTTTCGAAGCTCCAAAATTGGAAATACGCGAGTGCTTTGCCTTCAAAGTCATAACTTCAACAGCTTACCAGTAGATTCATCAGCACAATGGAAGATAGCACTACGAAGCCGACGAACAGTATTGAGGTGGCTGCAGGGTAATAGAGTCCATCTACTGACGCCGTAGAAAGAACGCCGGCATTGAAGATGTCGTTGAAGTCGTATTCACCGATGATCATCACGAACGTCTTCATCAGCGAGCTCCCTATGTCTCGAAACGGGATCTGACAACACAGAGGAATTGCAAAACCTAAATTGTCTACAATTCAGTGTATCCAATATCCATTCAATTGAGTTAAGATATAACATGCTGGATAATCGAAGATTACATTGCCCCCCTGATTCGTGAGAAAATATACTCGTACAAGATCGTCTTTGGTTTTATCTCTCGACTTTGAAACAATGTTGTGGTTTTTTAACCAAAAAATGCATCAAATATATTCATTGATAACCTACGAGGCGTTGATTAAAAGGATGCAAACTTACCTGGTTCCTCAGCAGTACAACGAAGGCAATGGCGAAGGCCAGGATGAGCACGAAGAAGACTGTGATTGCCTTGAGGAACGTGACGAGGATGTCTCTGAACATGACAACGTAGATCCCGAGGGAGCTGAACCCCTGGACGAAGAACATCAGGTCCGTCCAGCTGAGAAACACGGCCAGGGCCGCCAGGGACCACTGCCAGTCCTGCAATACAGCGTCCGTGAGTTGAGTTTAAAACCGCCTATTGCAGTAATATATCATGGCCAGTCAGCTTGATGTGGGAGGAAACCCAGAAGTGATCCAGGTCTTATACCTAGAGACATAATGAGGGCGAACAGGGATTCGCAACTACGATTACAGGTTAGTGGCGCACATAAGGGACGCAACTCTACACAGCGACTTGTGGCGCCTTAGATGATTGTAGCAGCCACGTGATATGGCTGATTTTGGTCATCCTAACCCGATGGCCTGGGATTCGATTATTTACACGTAGCGTTGATTAAACGGAGTATAACTGACTGGGGCATAAAACAACAAAATCAATAACATGGTGTCTTGGGTTGGTACCTTGGACTCAAACGCTGGTTCAACATATTCTGATACATCTCGGCAAAGCGATTTGCTGCGCCTTTGACCAGTAAGTTACAGATGTACTCCTCAACGCACCCCACCACCCTACAACTGTGTGACAGGGACTCATTCCACAAAGCGATATTCAAGTCAATCTCATAAAGAATCAGATCGTAGTTCTCACTACCGCTAAACAAAGATCTGAGGACATCCCATTAGGGGTCACGTCAGAACGACCTTTCATCCGACCAATCAGAGCGTCGCTTACCAGATCATGAAAGTGACAGTCGGAATGTGATTTCTAATCATGCAACCTCGAAAACTTTAAAACGGGGTATTCCGAACGATAGTCACGGGCTTAACAACTGAATCTATACAATCTAGACCATATATTAGCCATTCGAGAATGTTCGTTTGTTCAGGTTTCAAATCTTTGAACGAGAATTTGCCAAAATATGTTTCGAAGCGTAGTCGCCAATTTGAAATTAGTGACGTAAAGCACGAGAAAGCTGCCTTCAGATTGGCTAATGTCGTTTTCTTGTCAGTAATCCCATTGGTCGGTCAGAGTTTGCGAAAGGTCGGTTTGGCGTGACCCGTAATGGGACGTCCTCAGATCTTTGTCTAGCGGTAGCGAGAACTAAGATCTGATTTTAATGAGATTGTTTTCAAGTCTTCCACATGTTTATTCTTAACCTATGGACACCCAGTGAAATGAGTTCGCCTGTACCCGATTGATCAACATGGACAAATGGACAAATGCAATTTGTACACAGGATTTCTGAAGGGGTTGACCAGTGACCGTGACTTACTAATCTGTAGCCGGTGAGGGTCTGGCAGTGGTTGAAGTCGACGAGGACGAGGATGGTGAAGATGTATGCTATCCACTCTGTTACGTTGTTTACAGAAAAGTACGACAGTTTGCTCTGATACATCTGGAACAACTGAAAGCAGGAAATGGCTGTTTGCAAACCTTGATGGGCGTTATGACGAATAAGCAAACATTGTGGACTCTATCAAGTGGATTATATCTCCATTCCAGTTTGATAAATACCCAGGACCCATTCGCAGCCAGATCGTCGTTTCGTAAGTCACGTGACCACCTTCATCGCTCCAGTTTCTAACAGCCCTGTGATCCGGGTTAGAATTGTCTGCAGCAACCCATGCTTGTCATAAATAGCGACCACTTGTCAAAAAGAGGCGATTAACGGGATCGTGCGGTCAGGCTCACTGTGGTTGATGCATGTTATCGTATCTTAATTGCGTAGATCGATGATCATGATGTCAACCACTGGATTGTCTGGTCCAGATTCCAATATTTACAGATTGCCTTCTTATAGCTGGAATATTGCAGAGTTACACGTTAAACTAGCACAGAGATTTGGGCGGCTAATTTTGAGCGTCGGACCATCAAAATGAAGCTATGATATAGGTCCATACTATATATTAAAATAGAATGGAGATAATACCCTGGCTTATCGAGTACCATTCTCCCCATTGCTTTAAATCATCTTTATTATCGGGGTTTTAAAGATTTTGGTTTCAGTCGATCTTTGCAAAAACGTCTCATCCCGCACATACCTCATTGAAGATGCAAACTATAACGAGAAATATGACAACATATTTCTGGTTGTTGGTGTTCACGGGTTGATGGTAGTCGCTGCTGATTGCATCACATGAACCGCCCTTGATGGCGTCCGCAAGGGCAGTGGAGCTGAAACAAAATCATACACTGTTGAAAGCAATATATGTACTCGTAACGCATCTAGATTTGTGGTGTGCGAACTAGTGTGTGGGTTGGGTTTAACGCCGCTTTTAACAGTATTCCAGTTATATCACAGCGTGTCAGCTTGATGTGGGAGGAAAGTCCGAAGGGATGCAGGTCTCAGACGTTTACCACTTCGGTGAAACCCACGAGCATGGGTATGGTGCTGACAAACCTAGAAACTGTGAGCGAGTGAGTTGGGTTTAATGCCGCTTTTAACAGTATTCCAGTTATATCACAGCGTGTCAGCTTAATGTGGGATGCAGGTCTTAGACATTTACCACTTCGGAGAAACCCACGAACACGGGGATGATGTAGAAACAGTTTTTGAACCCACGACGACTGGGTCACCTGTGTTCCCTTGTGGTGTGTGACATCCTCCCGAGGTAGAGGTGTTAACTGACTGTAAAAGTCAGTTTTCACTCTTGTCGAACTAGGCTGCAATTTTGTGGCTCGATCGTAGCTCCCCCAGGAGCTATTACGAGTTATGTCCCTTCTGTGTCCCTCCTACTGACCAAACAGATTCCACCTCTCAAATCACTTGAATTTGCTTCAAACTTAATGGCGCCGCCAAATCAAGACGATCTGATCGATAATCAAGATCTTTATTATATTAAAACAAGATAACTTTGATCCAGAGGATCAACACGGCGCAAAGAAAGTTTGTATTATACCTACCTAATAATGCAAGTACCTATATTGTCATGCAGATATTGTTAAAATTGAAACCCACAACGTTGTGACAGCGTTGGTTATTTTTAACCATTAACCATACTTCTCTTGAAAGTTACCTTCCTAATGGTAATATGTTAACTACTCTAACCTGAGACGTCAATTATTCACTATGTCCAAAAGAGCTAATATCTCGCTACACGGAAACTGGCTCAACGTTTCCAGCATTGCGATATGCTATTCCCAACTCTCTCGACAGGCAGGCTCGCTAATTGGGACAGAGCTAGACTGGTGACCCTGCCCTTCGCCTGCAGCTGAAGACGAGGTGCGCAAGCGCTCTAGAGCACGTAAACTAGTCTAGGGCAGGACGTTGGTCCCTGTTATGATTGTTGTCGAAAACATAAACATGTTTAGTGCAATAATTTACAGTTAGGAATGTTTTACAAATATTTTTTTGAATACCATAATTGTTTAGGTTTTTCGCATGAAGGCATATCATTATACAAATGTGAGACAAAAATAAAGTTTTAATTAAAAGTTTGGTTACATCTTTCCAACGATAACTCATCCCCATGGCCCATGCCCCCATGTAATTTTCTCCAACCACTAACAAATATGTGCAACAAAACGGGTCTTAAAAAAATTAAACTGGGCATCAAAAACGTGAAATATAAGGAAAATATCTGTTGACGCCCAGTTAACGATAAACATGCTCGGCAAATCCTGCAATCGACCAAAATCTGCACGGCAGTCGCCATGTTGTTTATGAACTGTGACGCGTTTTTCATTGGACTATGCATAGACTCGTTAGTCCAGCCAAAATGTAACTCCATAATTGCAGCCTAGTTCGGTTAGGGTGGAAACTAGTGCTTGAAGACACATTTACATTTACTGCACGTCTGGACACTAAAGCCCCCCTTACACAGGGCCGCGACCTTTGAGACACCTTTGAGCGATCAAAAACTAGGCCAGGACGCTCAATGGTCGCCTGAACTCAGAAAATCATGTATCTTTGTAACTGCTCCAGCAGTTGTTCAGCAGTAACTGCTCGAGTTGTTCAGCGTCTGCAACCACAGTGAAACACTGCAGGTACAAACCCTCTATTTATAGGCAGACTGTGGAGGCATTACAGGTGGCTCAAAGGAGGCAGAAAAGAGGCAGAAGCATTGCCATGGTGTCTCAGGGATTGCCGTGGTCGCCGAATGGGGGCACAGCGGTCGCCACAGTCATCGTTCAATGCACGCTGTTGGTCGCCCAAAGGAGGCACACGGGAGGCAGAAGCATCGCCCAGATTGATGGGAAGAAATTGCAACAGAACGCATCTTTTACCTCGCGACCATTCTGCAACAACGGCAATGCGTGTGCCTCCCTTCTGCCTCCTTCGAGCCACCTTTGAGCAACCAACCTCCTCGGCGACCTTTGTGCGACTGTTTTGAACATGTTCAAAACTTCACGGCGACCATGGCGTCCATGGCGATGCCTGAACCTCCCGTGTACCACCTTGGAACGACCTAGGCAGCCATTCTGCCTCCTTTGAGCCTCCAACGACGATCTGGCAAATTTTATGGTCGAACACGGGAGACACAAAGGTCGCCATCCTGTGTAAGGTCCCCATAAGTGGGTATTGACATATGCAGCAATCAACAGTGGACACGTGTCCAATGTAAAGACACTACTCGGAAAACGACACTAGATTTCTTAATCATTGCAAAATGTGTTTATAGCATTGTCTCGAAACGAATGATAAAAGAATAACTAAACTTAGGACTAACTCACTATTGGTGTGGCGGCGTCGTGTTGAGGGTGAACATGGTGAGGAAGATGATGAACATGAGATGGAGGAAGAAGGAATATAGATGGAACCACGCCCCGAACGACCACCACTTGTGTGAAATTAGTGACGTCACAAGTGGATGGGCAAGCAGCTGCTCTTGGTGGGCGGATACCTGTAAGTTCAAAGGCAAGAAGGTCAAAGGTCATATGCAGGTTTGACGTACACATATATCATATTTGATTTGAAACTGAAGTCAAAAATTGATTTTGTGGACCATTTGTATAACACTGTCACGATCCCATAATATGTCCTGAAGATCCAATGTATACTAAATACATACTGGACCCTTGCAACACCTGCTCTCGTTTGTAGGTACTGGTTGCCTCCGGAATTTCAAAATTCTTGCATTGACCTACACATGCGACAAAGAATCAGCCCTAGGCTATCTGAGCGAACATTTGCCAAACTACACGCAGTCTAGATTTCTCGATTCTGAACATCAACTGCTAGTTCCAGAACCCGCCTGAAGACTTTCGTTCATAGATGCACACTGGGCTTCGTCACTATCGAACACATTACCATCAGAACTCAGACTGTCATCGCTCTCATCGACCATTATCGTATCTTTAAAAACGCATCACCTGCTGGTGCGTCCATGACAATCAGTACTTTACCATTATATGAAGGGGGTGGTTTTCTTTGATGGTCTTGGACCTGTGAGAGTAAGGCATCAATTTCCCAAACCGCCTGTAAGAAATCTTCGACTCTGAAAACACAAGTTATTACAATTACAGAACTAAAAAGTCTCCTCCTTTGGGTTTGCATGCATTTTAGAACGAACGGTACTGGCGGATGAAGGGGGAAGAGGTTGCAGGGCGGGGCATCCCTCCCCTCTTACTTCAGACACATTACATGTCAACGTGCCCACCACCATCACCAGCAGCCTTTTCAAAATACTGGATCCGCCGATGAATGGGTGTTCGTGTTTAACGACTTATTAATATTCTTTACCACATAAACCAGCTGTTAACAGCGTGATCAACGATCCACAATTGGACCGTCATAGTTCGGGGCACAACACAAACTTAGAGGCTACAAACGGTGTACCTCTCTGTATGTTCACGTGTATCCACAGAGCTCCAGATAAGCTGCGTATCTGCGTAAAATACGCATAAAAAATGCAGAAATACGCAGTAAAATAAAATCCAAGCGTATCAAATACCCAACGAACATTACAGATTCGTTACAAAAATAAAACTTGTGCGTATCTTCAAAATATTGTGAAGTAACCCTGCGTATTCGATTAGCAAATCAGCAACTTATTTTGAAATTATAAACGGACATTCCGTCAACCTTGCCCATCGTGATCATTTGCCATCACACTTTCTTGTGGAAGTATCGTGGTATTTTTGAGTCCTATAAAGCTCTCGAACCCACACGACACCAGTTTGCAGGGACTAGACGAATAGTGTTTTCAAATATTTAACTTAAATACCCACATATGTAAAAACTAGTGGGTAACAGAAATTTGAATACCCAGATAGAATTACTGATACCGAATGCTTTTTTAAATGCATGGGTAAAATACCCACAACACCAAAAGCTTATCTGGAGCTCTGAATCCATAACTGTAAAGCATTTACACAAAGTACCAGTTTGCGATGTGCCGCCTTCATTAGACGGAGGCTGGGCCCACTCAGCGTAAAGGTCGTCGATGAATTCAAAGTTGTAACGTTGCTCAAAGTTTTCATCAGTGGGGTCCTGTTCCTCCCCTGCCGTGATGCACCGGTCAAAAACCTCCTTCGCCACATCTGCAAATACAGTCACATTCATCTTTAATGGTCTCAGAAACTGGGTGGAGGCACTGGCGGTCCAGTCGTCTAAGGCACTGCAATTCGCAGTTCAGAGTTGCGTCCCTTGGGTACGCCAAAAACCTATGATCATGGGTTCGAAGCCTGGTTCACTCCGATTATGTTTCTAGGTTTGTCAGTGCCATGCCCGCGTTCGTGGGTTTCACCAAAGTGGTGAAGTCTGATATCTGCATCACGTCCAACTGAATCCCAACATTGCTGATACCCCGTGATAAAACTCGAATACTGATAAATGCGGCGTTTCCCACAACTGGCATAAAAATGTGTGAGGTTTAACGCTGCTTTGAACAGTATTTCAGAAACCTCACGGCATGTCCGTTGAATGTGAGACAAAAGCCTGAGGTGATGCAGTTCATGCATACCGCTCAGGTGTAAACTCATGATCATGATCGGGGAAACCTAGAAATTAAAATTATATTAAAATACAAACTCATTTATGTCCAAATAATATTACAATAATTAAGGCAAAAATAAAAGTAGATTCGACTTGACAATATAATGTCCTCAACAACAAACACAATTACATATTTTAGATTTTTTGAACGTCTGAGGGGTATCCGACGATACCAAAGCTAGACGAAGTCGTGCGGTCTGTACTGCAGATAGAGGACGAAAAGCAGTAATTCATAGGGATTTATATACCTGGCGTCAACCTATTGTGGCCCCAACCTATTGTTCTCTAGTGGGGTTAAATCTCATATAGGGAGGTGTTACACTATTTCTAGGATGTACTGCCAAAAATACGGCACTTCCTTTCAGGAAAAAAATATAAATATTTCGAAGGAATGACCGAAAAATTTCACCCCAGGCCCTCCTCCCCAAGGATACGAAAAGGTCGGTGACCTTGTTGTACCTGAAAGTAGAGTTTTACTACCTGGCATCTTCCTGATGAGCCGACGTAAAGGGGTGTCGATTGTGACGTTACCTCGCTTCTTCCGGATATGAGCGTGTCGTAACGCATCCTTCCATTTATCGGATTGGATGATCTGACGAGCAATGTCACTGAAGTGAAACATTTCTACTCAATTAATTTCCACCATTGACATTATCATTGTACTTGGTTCAACTCGGAAACAAAACGATTTGTTTCAACATAAAATCAATATTCCAACAGAATTTCAAATACAAAAAAATCGATAGAATCGATTTCATGAAGCGTTTATCACGATATCATTTCATTTGGTAGCATGGCAATAGGTTTATATCCTCAGTTAAAGGTAAATTGCAGTTATATTCAAAATTAAAACAGAACTTACATCTATAAAAGAAACATAGACTAGAAATTGTCATCAGGTCGTGGAGCATCGTCTCTCTGTAACGATTAATACTATACTACTCAACATTTGCTAAGGTTCACACCTGTGACTAAAGATGACTACTTTGGTCCATATTGTTGAGTAGTATATGTTGTAACTCCAGCGAACCGATAAAATGACGGTACCTTTTGTTGTTCTCAATAGCAAGGTCAAGGCAGTTCATGCCGTTCATGTCGCGCTTGGTGACGCTGGCGTTCCACCTCAGCAACAACTGTACGACTTCACGGTGACCACTAGAACAGGCCAGGTGCAGGGGGGTTGTCTGGTGTTGGGGGAGAGAATTCCATTAGTGACTACATTTCTGGTAATGACATGATCACTAGGAACGTGTATCATTTGTATGCCCCGGTTTCTTACGTGTCACTGGATTTTCCTGCCCACCGCTTGATTGTCTGGCTTGTTTACAGGCCGCCGTTGCATGTACATGTGCATGTGCACTGCTTGGCGGCGTCAGGCAACACACACTTACTTTTTTATGCAAATTGTGTGGCGGTAGGACAGGGCATGCTTAAAACAGAGATTGCTTATTCTCTGGTGTGGACGTTTTATATTTACATTCACAAAGGGGACAAAGGTCGCTGTAGAGCGTTGCGTCCCTTGCGTCAGAAACCTTTGATCGTGGGAACGAATATTTCTTGGTTTGTCAGCACCATCTCGTTGGTTTCACCGAAGTGGTAAACGTCTAAGGCCTGTATTGCTTTGGGCTTTCTTCACACATTAAGCTGAAAGGCCGTGGAGCGGCGTTAAATCAAACTCAATCTTCACTTTACGCAAGTGGGTGTACTCGCCTGTCTCACGGTCCCTGAACCATATCATTTTCCCTCCCCCCAGCCCATACTGTAATGCTATAGCCCTGAATGAAGCATGTCTCGATTTGAATCTCCCATCTCTCTGGGGCTCTCTTTCCATTTAAAATTCGTTGTTTGTTTCTATCACAATTATATATGTTCAGAGACTAAGCGTTAGTCCACTGTAGTACTAACTGTGTTACTTACATTTCTCTTGTCGGTGGGATCTACAGGGGCGTCCGCCTCTAGAAGGACCTTGCAGGTGTTGTTCCAGCCCTGTGCTGCCGCCATATCTAACGCAGTCCAAAGCACACAGTTCCTACACGGAAAATGTGCTACCATAAGACGTTTATTCAGAGTGATAAAAAACTCACCAAGACAAGAGGAAGAGGAAACTTTTCCAATCTCATTAAAATCAGATCTTAGTTCTCGCTGCCGCTAAACAAAGATCTGAGGACATCCTATTACGGGTCACGTCAGACCGACCTTTCGCAAACTCTGACCGACCAATGGAATTACTGACAAGAAGTCGACATTAGCCAATCAGAAGGCAGCTTTCTCGTGCTTTACGTCACTAATTTCAAATTGGCGACTACGCTTCGAAACATATTTTGACAAATTCTCGCTTAAAAAATTGAAACCTGAACAAAAGAACGTTCTAGAATGGCTAATATATGGCCTAGATTGTATAGATGATTCAGTCGTTAAGCCCGTAAATATCGTTCGGAACACCCCGTTTTAACGTTTTCGAGGCTGCATGATGAGAAGTCACATTCCGACTGTCACTTTCATGATCTGGTAAGCGACGCTCTGATTGGTCGGATGAAAGGTCGTTCTGACGTTACCCCTAATGGGATGTCCCCAGATCTTTGTTTAGCGGTAGCGAGAACTAAGATCTGATTCTAATGAGATTGAAACTTTTCAATAGTCAACTTTCCCTTTATGTTGAGCAATATCCCAGTAGCCCAGCTACTTTTGAGGTACAATCGAGCATGTTTTTTCAAACATGGTCATAGGACTCTTGCTCAAAAGTTTCTTGATCAGGGTAACAGCGTGCATGGCCTAAGTAAAGCTTCCCAAACGTTTGATGGTTGACTTGAGGAGGGCAATTCCCTTTCAGACATTGTTCATGTATGTTCCCGTGTTTGTTTAGGTGGACAACTGACTTTGCATGCGTGTGTTCTGGGTGCCATCGTTGGGGCAGAATACGCTCACTTTTCCCAAACACCCGGTATCATCTCTATTTGGTCATGATTAATAAAAGATGAAGCTACGAGACCACTTAAAATACTGAATTGTACTTTTTGTAATTATTTGAAATGTTAATGGTTGTTTTCCCAGGGCGAATGAACATCATACATTGTATCCAAAGGGAATCGAAAACGGGTCATCGGCGTGAGGAGCGAACGGTCTAACCACCAAGTTACCTTGACGTCACAATTTGTAATCATGTTTCGACTATTGGAAAACCAAGAAATACTTAAAAGGCATTCGTAGATTGAGGAGGGCCTGGGTGTACAATTTGTTACTCTCTGAGTGAGTGAGTGAGTGAGTGCGTGAGTGCGTGAGTGAGGAAATATTCAGCAATATCATGTTGAGGGAAACCAGAAATGGGCTTCACACACAGAACTCATGTGGGGAATCGAACCCGGGCTAACCCCTTAACACCTTGGCTACCCCACCGTCCCCAATCACTCTCGAAGGACGATGGGTTATGGCTGTCATTGAATAATGGAATGCGATGTATTACCTACTGTCAAATACGTCCTACTTTAGACATTTAATTTATAGTTTTAGATTGGAAAATCCAAATCTGTGATTTAATGATTGAGTAAAATTGATTAGTTATTGGATATAGTTTACAACATTGTAAGATTGTGAATGTTTGTCAAATATTTACTTTTGTGAAACATCAGCCCCAAGTTCAATGAGTGCACCCACGCTCAGCGTATGTCCGTACAGTGCGGCCAGATGTAAGGGCGTGTTACTCTTCTCGTCCTCGGCAAAGATAGAGTTCTGACCGTTCCTCACAATTTCCCGTATGGTGCTGAAACATTGACCGTGCATCATACGATTAGAAGACAACAGAGAGTGAATAATTATAGTGTTACGCCGATTCCAGCAATATTATAACAGGAACACCACAAATGGGCTTCATATATTGTACCTATGTGGGGAATCGAACCCGGGCCTTGGGCGTGACGAGCGAACGCTGTAACCACTAGGCTACACCACACAGCCTAAGCAAACATATAAATATGATGACGAGTGAATGAATATGGTTTTTACCGCTTTTAACAATATTCCAGCAATAATACGGCAGGAGGCACCAGAAATTGGCGTCACATATTGTTCACGTGCGGGGAACGAACCCGGACCGTCGGCGTGACAAGCAGAAACACTATCCATCGAGCTACCCCACCGCCCACGTGATGATGCACTGACATTGCATAAACATACATTGACATGTCGGAAACTCGAACCCCAAGAACCATCAAAATAATATCGAGTTTCAATTGTTTTAGACAACTTCATAACCATAATGTCGATAAACGGGACAAAACAGTTATATCGGTTTAAGCGTTGTCGGGTTAAAGGAGGTCAGGGCGAGGAGACTTTACGGTAATGACGTTCATGATTACCCAAACAAACGTTGACACTGATTCTCAGTCATTACCTTGGGGATTCCAAGTTAGAAAAAGTCCCCAGCAACATATGCTGACCGTAAAGTATACAGGCGACAACAGGGATCGGATGCTTAGTTTTGGTGATATGGTTGAATGCATGCCATCGCACCTCGACGGCGCATGGCGGTGCTCATCATATCAGTAACTGGTTTGTCTGGCCAAGGCTCGCTAATTAACAGTCCATCGTGATAAAGAAAGATTATTGTTGAAAGCGGCGTCAATCTAAATTGCTTTATTACGATTAAGTTAGTTTGATTTAACACTGCTTTGAACAGTATTTCAGTTATCAGGGCGTGTCATTTTGACGTGTGAGGAGGGAACGAAGTTTGGTGAAACCCATTAGCAAGAGTATGATGCTGATAAACCAAGAAAAATCAGAGCGATTCTAGAATTCGAACCTGCGATCATACGTTTCTGGCACGCCCAAGGGACGCAACTCTGCAAACTTACTTGACGTTCCCGTATTTAGCAGCCATGTGTAGTGGAGATTCCTCAAGTTCGTTCTTGGTATGTATGGACGCCTTGTTCTTGAGGAGAATCTGTAAATACAACCGTGTACCAAGTGTATGTCATCTCACGGGTTAAACGGGTTTTTTGTTTGTTGGTTGGTTCCAGCTACACGACGGCGGTCTGTAAATAATCTGGACCAGACAATCCAGTGATTGACATTATGAGCATCAATCTACGCAGTTGGGATACATGCATCAACCAAGTCAGCGAGCCTGACCATCCGATCCCGTTAGTCGCAATCCACTTTTACGGCAAGCATTGGTTGCTGAAGACATATTCTACCCTGGGTCTTCACGGATTACAGGCTTATTGAAAACCATACATTATAAACAATGGAAACAATTCAAACGTTAAAAGCATTCGCTAAAACGTCTAAGATTTCCTTTGATTCAGTTGACTAGCACAAGATCGATGCAGGTATACTTGGCACTGTCTATTAATATTTCATCTTTAAAGGAAATCCAACCATTCTGTTTCTACTAAAGACAAGAAAGAAAGGCGTGACACACGCTCACATTGTCGTAAAACCGGTTCTGTTCAAGGCTGACGACCATATCTATGCGCTCCATCTTTGCATTGTTCATCTGGATCTGGATGGTTCAATGGTCTTACCTTGACAACGTGCAGGTTTTTCTTCTGAGCAGCGATATGCAGTGCAGTATTGCCGTCACGGTCGCCCCAGTTGATAAGGTTTCTCATCTCAGGAACCGACAACAAGCTCTGTGGAAACAAAACGTCTTTCTTTATTCTGATTAATCAGTCTGTTGTCTGTTGTCTGTTAAGTGCCTACTTTAATCCACTGATGCGGATCGTACTGAACGCACCTTACTTTCTCGTTCTCTTGATGTACGTCGGTCTATTGCAAACACGCAGTTGTTTATATTGGAAAAAAAACTAGTAACATCTATCGTGGTAGTAAATATATTTCTATGCAAAGGCCAAAAACATTTTATGGTAAACGTTTTTTGTTTTTTTTTAAATCATTAGAGCTTATGTATATTCAATTAATGTGTGTATCTGAATATTTTGTTATTCACTGGGAATGAAAATGTACATATGGGTGTTTAACGGGTCAAAGGTAAGTTTGTTTGTTTGTTGTTTAACGCCGCACTCATCAATATTCCAGCTATATGACGCCGATCTGTAAATAATCGAGTCTGGACCAGATAATCCAGTGACTGACATCATGAGCATCGATCCGCGCAATTGGGATACGATGACATGCATAAACCAAGAGAGCCTGACCATACGATCCCGTTAGTCGCCTCTTGCGACAAGCATGGTTTGCTGACGACCAATTCTAACCCGGATCTTAACGCTACATTAAACAATCAAACAAACCACAAAATAACTTGATACAATGTTGCGCAAAACAAACTGGAATGTAAGTGCAAACCGAACACACATTGACGAGGACTAGTATATTCTTTAAAAATTTATATAAACATTATTTTGGCAGTTTAGAACCAATAGTGATTCTCAACATATTTTTTGGCAATTTATAACCTTGTGTTTCGCCAAAATATAACAGGCCATCTTTAGGGAGCACACGGCATCATATGAAACAAATGTTCCTCTTTTGAAAGGAAGATCAGGTAGTCTAGTGGCTGAAGCGTTGGCTCGTCAACGTGCAACAATGTCGATGATGCGATCGTCGCTGTCAAACACTATTTGTGTATTTACACTATGGTAATTATGCCTAATGGGATATCCTCAGATCCTTCTTTAGCGGTAGCGAGAACTAACATCTGATTTTAATGAGATTGTCTCAATAACATTAAATAAAAAGGAGCCGAGAGACCCTTTTCCTGATGCTGCAGTATTCGGGAGTCGCCCACCATTATAGATTTGCATTGGCACTTTTGGATCTATATATTTCACGTTCTGTTTGACAGACTAGCCTATGGTGTAAGGAGTGATTATCGGCATCATACTCTTTATCTCCAGGGCTCGCATTTTGGTAAACCTACACTAACCCCTGGACCCATTCTCGTGGTTCTCGCGATCTCAAGTTACCCGCCCTTGATTTTCATTAACATTGTACTGACCAATCGAACGTCGATAAAAGGAAAAAGCAAATGTGTGAGGGACAACTTGCCACCGACAGTTTCATTGGACATGAAGACATCCTTTCCACAAAACATTTTTTTAGGGCATTATCATGTACTGGCACCCATATAAAAAACATTGAGGTTGGTTTTTACTCTGATTGGTCCGTAAGACAACGTAGCGAAGCGCATGTAAATTGGCCAATGAAATTCAAGGGCGGGTAATTTGAGATCGCTCGAACCACGGGAATTGGCCAATAAAAATCAAGGGCGGGTAATTTGAGATCGCTCGAACCACGGGAATGGATGCAGGGGTTAGTGTAGGTTTACCGAAATGCAAGCCCTGAAGATACAGAGTATCGATCAGTCGTGTAAAGGGTCTAATCTTAATGAGAGATATAGAGGAAATATCGGCATTAGTCGGCGACCGATCGGATCGTCTCAAACTGTAATGATCTCGCAGACTACAGACTGTAACGATTTAATGGGCCCCACGCTCGGTGAGTTAGAATGTACCTGGAGCACAGACAGGTTGCCTTCTTCAGCAGCAACATAGACAGCCGTCTTCTCCTTCAGATTTGTGGCATCGACGTCAGCTCCCTTCTTTACCAACATCTCCACCGTCTCGACATGGCCGTACATGGCAGCGATAAGGAGCGGCGTGTCGTTGTCTTTGTCAAGGCACTCAATGTTGGCCCCCCTGTGATAAACACAATGTACAAAGACAATGTACAGAGAAACATTTTGCCGTTACACTGTGAAGCCGTTGCTGGTATATTGTGAAATCCGTTACTCGTGGTGAAAACCGTTACCGTTGTCGGCGTATAGTGAAAACCGTTACCGTTGCCGGTGTACAGCAAAACCCCGCACCGTCATGTTGTATAGTGTAACCCGTTACCGTCATAGTGTTTAGTGAAATCCTTTACCGTTGCCGGTGTATAGTGAAATCCGTTACCGTCAGGGTGTATAGTAAATCCGTTACCGTCACGGTGTATAGTGAAATCCGTTATCGTCGCCGGTGTACAGCAAAATCCCATACCGTCACTGTGTATAGTGAAATCCGTTACCGCTGCCGGTGTACAGCAAAACCATTTACCGTCACGGTGTATAGTGAAACCCGTTACCGGAATATAGTGAAACTCGTTACCGTTGGAGGGTTTATAGTGAAACCCGTTACTGGTGTATAGTGAAACCCGTTATCGGTGTATAGTGAAACCCGTTACAGGAATATAGTGAAACCCGTTACCGTTGCAGGTTTATAGTGAAACCCGTTACCGGTGTATAGTGAAACCCGTTACCTTTTCAGTGTACAATGAATGCATGATGTAAATACGTGTACCCCTGGTTTTATAAATCTGCGGAAAAGCTCCGCTAGAAAACTAAATATACAATGGAGCAACATTTAAAAAAATAGAGTTATTTCCATGTGTTGCTTGGAGGCATCTACATACGATTTGAGGTGAGGTGAGGTGAGGTGAGGTGAGGTGAGGTGAGGTGAAATTGGGTTTAACGTCGCGTTCAAGATTATTGCACTTGTACAGCGACGTGCATGCACACGTGTGGGGGCTGCTTGTACTAGTCCGGACTGATGCCGATTTGATAGTCCGACCCACTGAGACACCACGCGTATTTAAATATGAACACCCCACTGAAACACAGTATACGGAGTCCGAGCCGACCAGTCCTTGTTTTAGCCCCTTAATGTCGAGCGCCAGGGAGGGTAACAACAAGTACCATCTTTTTACGTTTTCTTGGTATGACGCGACCGGGGATCGAACCCCAGACGCTCTATCACTAGACCACAGAGGCGGGCGATAAAAATTTGAAAAACGACTGATACTTGCGGAAAAGATGGTCAAGGTCAGTGTATGTTTCTCCAGATACACAACAGTAGCCCTGTACGTCTAGAAGATGTTATCCTTTGTATCCCTTGTCACAATTGAAAGAGTAGTCCCAACATTATTGCTAGTTTCAAAACATGTCATTAAATGTTCGATTTCGTTACTGTATTTCAATATTAATGCAAGCAAATGTTTCGTCAGATATTGATACAGGGTGGCTCCGTTATATAAAATATATATAGTAAGCGATGTGTACATTACCTCCTCAGGAGAAGCCTCGCAGCCCTTACGCGGTTGAATTGAGCCGCTTTGTGTAGAGGTGTCGTTTGCATGTCATTCGAAGCGTCGATTATTGCCCCTTTATCCACCAGATGGCGTATGATGTCAATCTTACCGGACACTACCGCCAGGTGGAGTGGAAACAAACCGTCACTGCGGCTCTGGTTGACATTTGCCCCTTGAAAAAGTACATAGATTAAGTCGGGATGATTTAATCAACATACAAGTTCATGAATGAGAGAATATTTTTAACCAAGTAACCAATGTTCCACCTTCATCAAAGCGGCCTAATCGTGCCTGGACTAGGCAAACCATGGGTTGTAGCATGAGCAACACTTAATGACATGAGTCGGGCACCTCACATACTGAAATCATCCGATCCTCATTAGTGGGTTCTTATAACAAGTATTGGGTACTGGGGACATTTTCTGCCCCGACATCTCCATGGAAAACATAGTCAAGTTCATAAGCCTGGCAAGTATACACTTGAATTGGATTTGACCAAAACATTACAAACGTTACTAGGCTGAACAGTGTGGCCGAAACACAGCAAACCATCAAATACATCACCATCGAAAAAATATTTGTTTGATTCATTTTCAGCCACCATTAAAAATGGGTTTATATTTTCTTTTGCTCGGAGGTTTACTTAAGGGATAGATAACGAGCAAGGAATATTGACATATTTACAGATTTAACGCATTATGTTTGTCTTGACGAAGAAAGAATTAATTTTTGCATATACCTTAAAAGACTATCCCCGATGCCCAACCTGTATGGTTCTTGTATGTTGTTTGAACATATTGTTTCTAGCTTTGTGAACACAATTATTAATGTTCAGTGTTTCAAGAAGTGCAAAGGGCACAACTTACCCTTTTGTACACAAAGGTGGGTGATCTCACTATGGCCATTTTCTACCGCTAGGTGGAGACAAGTGCTTCCTTCAACATCCTGGTCCTTAACTAGCTGTCGACGTCATGTTGAAAAAAAGAGTAAAATTTATGAGTGAGTGAGTTGTATTTTACGCTGTTTTGAAAAGTATCAGGATTTCAGTTGTGTCACGGTGTCAGGACAATGTTGGAAAGGCAATTTACACGTATGGGTACGATGCTAACAGATACCATAGACCATAATGGGGAAGTATTTGGTCTGAAGCCTTCTTAGCCAGGCAATTCAGTGGTCGACAGTATAAGCATCAATCCATGCCGTTTGGAAAAGACGACACATAACCAGACAGCTCACTTAATTATTGCAGCCAGACGAATTCCATCTAAACTTACAACCTTGGTGTTACTGACGGCAACTAGCGGATCCTGGCTTGGCTGAGGGATGCATTTCTGCACATAGACCACTGTGCCAACCACATCTTATTGAGGTGTTGTTGGGACATTCGTCTTAGTGTGAGCGTGTAACATCACATGACGGAGGATGCGTGTCTCAGACGTTTACTATTTTGGTAACTCCCACGAGCATCGGCGCACTGCAGACATACCAAGGATCATCTGGGCTAATCGGGGATCAAACCCACGTTGATAGGATCCTGGCACATCTAAGGGTCGCAACTCTGCATAGCGAATTGCGGCACCTTCGACGACTGAGCTACTCTCTTTCTTAGAGAATTCTAAACCTGAGTATAGAAGCAAAGAATCTTGTTCTCTCCTCTTCCCTTACCAATTCTGTGACATTTTTTTCCGGATTTTTCTCTGCGATTTCAAAGAGCATTTTCACAAGAGGCAGATTCCCAGACGAGCATGCGTGATGTAATGGTGTTGACGTCTCGTGATCCATACACCGGATTTCGGCACCGGCGTTGAGGAGGAGTTTAGCAACGCCGAGCTCATCATATAGAGCTGCTACGTGCAGGGCTCGCATGTTCTGATTATCTTCAGACTGGAACAGTGGCAGCAAAAAATACGGTTTCTTCTACTAAATCAGGGCAGTTTCATGACAAGATAACAAAAACATCACAATTATTCAGTACTTTACGATATGTTGTCAGATGTCAGATAGTTACAATTATATTATTAGAATGTGACATAACGACAACGTCCCTTATAGAATTTCATAGATTCGGTATTCCGATAAAACTTTGTATGAGACAGATTTGCAAGAATTTCGATGTAGCTCGCTGCGATATTGCTGGAATATTGCTAAAAGCGGCGTCATTAATACTCACTCCCTAGCAAGGATTTCGTTAAAAATTCCGTTATTCATACACTAGTCATCATACATACACAGGGAGTCTACATAAGACTTGGGGCAATGGGGTAGCCTAGTGGTTAGTGTACAATGTAAACTGCCGAGCGAAAGAATGTATACTCCCATGTTTGATGGTGGCTAAAAATGAAACCAACAAGAAATGATAATTCGATTGTGACTTATGTGATACGGGTATCATCGTTGTGTTTGTTACCTTAAATTTGCAGCGTTTAAGCCTTGAAATGTTTTTATAATGTTTATAATGTTTTTAATTTTTTAGTCAAATCAATTTTTTTCAGTGTATACTTTCTTTTGCCTGGCAGCGTATGTAGCTCATAGCTGGAACCTTGATAAAACCCGACTTACTGACTATTTAAAACTGAAATATACAATCACCCTGATTCGGGGGAAAGTAACACAAGTTGATACAGACCTCAATTATGTTGATGTCTTGGAAGGCGAGGATGTCCCTGGCGGCGACGACATTGCCGTGAATGGCGGCGTAGTGAAGCGGAGTCTGGCCATACGTGTCTTTCATTGTGAAGTCGGCGCCATTCTCCTTCAGCTTAGGGACACAGGACGATCCCGACCAAACTTGATCCATCTGATAAAGACCATCATAGACATCATCGTCGTTATTGTTGTAGTGGCTGTATAAACGAACCCGGTTTCGTTACAGTATTTTTTAAAATCTGTTTTATACAGGAACCCGTTACAGCAAGAGGGAGTCCAGATCCAGTGTGATGCATGCGTTGGCAGTTTTCCATTTATTACTTGTGGGTGACATGATAAACGTCTACCATACAATAACAACTCCATGGGCGGATCCAGCTTTTTTGAAAAGGCGGGTGCACAATTAAGATCTATTTATTGTCTTTGGTGGTAATTTATACAGAAATAAGATATTTTTTTAAAATAAAAAGAGGTGTGCGCACCCCCACCCCACCCTCTGTACAACTACAATCGCCCCACCTCATACCCACAAACTGATATCAGGTGTGTGTAGATTCCGAAAAATGGATACCCACTAATGAAGAATCCTGGATCCTTTACTCACACTCTTAGGGGCGCTCCGGTCGGTTTTGAGTTTCTTGCCCCTCACAGGCATAGCGGCATAGTGGGCGGGGCAGACCCCCTCCTCTTCCCCTCTGATGTTGACATCTGAGAAATATATGAGATGAAATCAGAACTCTGTGCTTCAGGATAACCTACGAGGTACACGGATTACGGATTATGTCATGAGTGTAAGAATTTAAGTACTGACGAGTCTTCACACAGTGTTTCATGAAAAAGCGTTAATCCACAATTCCAGGGGGTAGTAATTTTTAAAGTCTGTCTTACAGACCCTGATACAAATATAGGGGCGGTCGGGTAGCCTAGTGGTTAAAGCGTTCGCTCGTCACGCCGAAAACCCGGGTTCGAATCCCAACATGGGTACAATGTGTGAAGCCCATTTCTGGTGTCCCCCGCCGTGGTATTGCTAAAAGCGGCGTAAAACCAAACTCACTCACTGATACAAATATATATCAAATACAGCCCATGCAAGTCTATAATGTTTGGCAAGTCGGGATTACTGCAGTATCTGAAAATGAAGAGAGTCACTGGGCTCCCTTTTATTATATTTTTATTAAGATAACTGAACAACTGTTTTTTCTGTACGATATGTTCATTTCAGAGACTAGATGTTAGTCTATAATTTTTACTTTGTATTGTCTTTTGTTTAAGAAAAAGTTTAAAAAACATTTTTCACGATCACTAGTGGAAGCATCGGGTCAGTCACATGACAATCTCATTAAAATCAGATCTCAGTTCTCGCAACCGCTTAACAAAGATCTGAGGACATCCCAATAAGGGTCATGTCAGTCCGACGTTTCGCGAACTTTGACCGACCAATGGAATGACTGACAAGAAGTCGTCATTAGCCAATCAGAAGGCAGCTTTGTCGTGCTTTACGGCACTATTTTCAAACTGGCGGCTGCGCTTCGAAATATATTTTGATAAATTATCGATTAAAAATTGGAAAACAGAACAAATGAACATTCTCCAATGGCTAATAGATGGCATAGCTTGTATGGATTCACCCGTAAAGCCCGTAACTGTCGTTCGGAAAACACCGTGTTAAACCTTTCGAGGTTGCATGATCAGGAAACACATTCTGACTGTCACTTTCCTGATTTCGTAAGCAACGCTCTAATTGGTCGGATGAAAGATCGTACTGGTAATGGGATGTCCTCGGATCTTTGATTAACAGTAGCGATTTTTCACAAGAAACCAATATAATATAAATTGATACATTTATCTGTAATATCGATATTCCGATAGAATTAGTTTGAGTCTACCTCAATGCCACTATTGATTTCGGGCAAGAGGCCCTATTCACAAAGCAAAAGGTGGCTAACGGGATCGGGTGGTCAGACTCGCTGATTTGGTTGATGCATGCCATGATATCAATCACTGGATTGTCTGGTCCAGACTCGATTATCTACAGACCGCCGTCATACAGCTGGAATATTGCTGAGTGCGGCGTTAAACAACAAACTAAAAAATAAATCCTAAAATATAAAAATGACATAAGGTAGTCGTTGCGCTAAGATCGCTTTTAGAATCGGTAAGAAAATACATAATAAATAGAAATGTTGACTATTCTTGTCAAATAACATCATTCTTTCATCTTAAAAAATAAAAAGATCGTCAGGTCACTCGATGAGATATGCATCTATTTGACAAGAAAAGTCACATATCCCAGATACTAGTATGTGAAACCCTAGTAATATATGCTGTTTTCTGGGGTCATCACCTGCTTTGTTCTTCAGCAGAATGTCCACAACATCCGGGTGGTTGTACTGGGCAGCGTAGTGGAGGGGGGTCAGGCTGTTCTCATCCTGCGAGTTCACGTGCTTCTCGACGTTCTTCCCAAGGGCGTTGATAATCGCCTCCAGTGTCGAGGCATCGCCCTCTCGTGCACACTAACATATACATGAGTTTCTGTTATTTGCTATACAAAGAGACGTAAATGGGGACAATATTCTGGCATATCGAGATTATAGAATTAAATATTACTTGTAAAATAATATTATTTCTAATTACATCTTGCAATAACTTTCAATTGTTCAGTGGACCCGTGAAGATCCGAGTCAGATCATGCTTGCCGTAAGAGGCGACTTTATGCTTGTCGTAAGAGGCGACTAACGGGATCGCTGACTTGGTCGATGCATGTCATCTTATCCCAATTGCGTAGATCGATGCTCATGATATCAATCACTGGACTGTCTGGCCTAGACTCAGTTATTTACAGACCGCCGTCATATAACTGGAATATTGCTGAGTGCGGCGTTAAACAACAAACAAACAAACAAACAAAACAGTTGATCAATAGCATTTCCATTTGAATAAGTTATCGTCGGAAATTAGCATGACGTCACGGAACGAACGAGTGTCGTTACCATTGGGTCGTCGTGTTTTGAGAATTGGCAAAACAGTTAAACGATTTCATGAATACAAAAGCATAAAACGGTTGGTTTATTTGGTTAATGTTCACGTTGAAATTCGTTTCCCAAAGTATTAGTTACAAAAGTAAGTATTGTAGTGATTCTCAAAGCTGATTGGTCAGTTGAAGCAATATGACGTCATACTGCTATATTATTTTAGACCAATACCATATGACGTCATCAATCATCCAGATTTAATGTCTTGCAAAATAGGTCTAAAATGCCATTCAACATCATTTATAACAATTCGTATAACAATTGCCTTGTGCCTTATATAAACAAGTGTCCAGATTAACCAAAGGTTGAATAGATTTTTTTTAAAACGAACTTCTGACGACTACTGACTTTTAAAAAGTATGTTAACATTTTCTGCGTCAAGAGTTGAGAATTCCGTCAACGTTTACGTCAGTTATCTCAAAATTGTTTGGTTGGTTCGTCGTTAAATTTGCTTGACTGGGCTCCTGACTACCTACACAAGTAGACAAGCGATTTCTCGTAGGCTGCGATTTGATAAGACTAAAGACAGTATTCATTGGTCCTAGGTATCGACCAATTGCTTGGATCGATGCTCATGATATTAATCACTAGATTGTCTGGTGCGGCGTTAAACAACAAAGAAACCAACCTCGGTATCGAATAACAACTACCGTTTCTTTGTAAAGTTGCTCTCGACACAATTAACATCAACAGAGCAGTTTCTTATAACTCCTCAAACAAAATGTCGAGGTGTAAAGTTGTCTCCATGTTTGTTTACATTCGAAATAGAGGACGCTGCGCGTGCGAATCTATAACCGGATATAGCGCAAACAAACAGTGAAGCCGGTTTATCAGTGAACACGCAACATCTCCGTGAAAGATGTCGTCACAAACCTCATGAATACGTGACTTAGTTGGGGGGTCACTATCCTCCTCCCGTCTTAAACGCCAAGCTGACATCTATCTCAATCGTCGCAAGAACGGTTTAAACACGTCATCAAATAACAGGGTGCACATTGCACACTGGGACGTGGCATGCGTTGTACATGTACACGCAAATCTCGTGCATATCTCGAGCATATCTAGTTTATTGGCAGCGGACCCTCTCCATTGACGTTTTGACAGGTGAGTGTCGCTTTTGCCAGCCCTTTGGGGTTGGGCTGAATTCAAAGTCCATAGTTCATTATGTTTTCCAGCTCCCAGCTTAAGTCCATTACTTGGTGTAATTGTACCTGTAGTTCCAGGCAACCTTGGCAGAACGTCCTGAACAGAATCGAGCGCCGCATAAGATCTGCGACCTCTTCACCTCTGGGGAGCAGGAATCGCCAACACCCCGTTATAGCACGCACGCGCAACTTTTTTTAAACATTTTCTCGATTTCTTAAAAAGGCAATCACTCATTTCTGAATGTTATGAGCAAAATGCAGCCTTGTTTGGAAACATTAAGAATATACACTAGAAAGTGTCCAAGTACAAACGATGTGCGGGGTTGTCACGTGACTAGGCGGTGCCCATTCTGTTCAGTCATTGCTAACAACCTGTCCTTTATTTCCTCCTGAAATAAGACATTTGAATTTAGCACTTTTAAAACTTTAAGAGTACCCAGAATACATTTCCGAAATCCAGTAGTAAACAGTGGTTTGACTAAACATGTATTAGACCGCTTAAGTGTGTCGCCACTGGCAGACGAAAATTTCTATAATCAATTAAGTATATGAATGTTATACCAGAGATTATATAAAATGTAATTTGTATTACTAAAGAGGTGCGCGTGATGATGGTGGTTTAAGCGATTTCGACGATGGCCACAACTGGTTATGTTTTTTGTTTTGATCACCTCTTCTCGCGATATCTCAGATTTGCTAACAGTTTCATTAATATCAAACTTATTTTGTAATATTAAAAACATTTTTACGAAACGGATGGTGATCACACCCAAATATTTCCTTCGTTGGATCGGGGGATCTCCTATATGCTTGTCGTACGAGGCGACTTGATGGACCGGGTGGTCAGGTTCGTTGACATGCCTGAGTGTCAACGTACCCCGTCGGCGGGCATTGAGTCTATTACTTACAGGCATGCGGTTAGGCAATTGCAAAATGTAGCGTATGTGCACTCAATCAGTAATAACAAAATATATTCAATCTTTGGTTCGACATGGGTACAATGTGTGAAGCCCAGTTCTGGTATCCCCCGTCGTGATATTGCTGGAATATTGCTAAAAGCGGCGTAAAACAATACTCACTCACTCACTCACTCACTCAGTCACTCAATCTTTGGTTCGATGAAGTTTATCAAATAACAAATGAATCAAGGGCTGCTGACCTTAGAGTGATTGACTCATTGCTGTATTCGACCCGTGAAGATCCGGGGTAGAATAGGTCTTCAGCAACCCATGCTTGCCGTGAAAGGCGACTATGCTTGTCGTAAGAGGCGACTATGCTTGTCGTAAGAGGCGACTAACGGGATCGGGAGGTCAGGCTCGCAGACTTGGTTGATGCATGTCATCGATCCCAATTGCACGGATCGATGCTCATGATGTCAATCACTGGATTGTCTGGTCCAGACCCGATTATTTACAGTCTGCTGTCATATAGCTGGAATATTGCTGAGTGCGGCGTTAAACAACAAACAAACAACATTGCTGTATTCACTGTTGAACAACAGTCACTATTCCCTTCTTGACCTTGCCAAGATCATTCGAGGATAAATACCCGACTGAACCGTTGTATATCTCGTGTAATATCAGCTAGTGTTAAAAGTGTTTGGAACAAATAGGAAATGAAGTATTGACAGCTGTTCACACCAATAAACACTATTGTTGAATTAACATGCAAATGGTACAAATAAACTAATATGTTAGTAAAAGGTTCACTCACGACAAACAATTAGATGGATTAAAATTGATTGAATACCATAGGTCTCAATGGTATCCCATTCAGCAATGGTGTCAGGAATGGTGTCAGGAATATGTCGTAGCCAAATAGTCAGCCTTTCACAATATGTGAATATTGTTCCAACGTGGTTGCGTCATGTGGAGAACTATTTTTTGGTTTTTCTGTCTGCTTAATATATGTCTCTTAGTAACTTGCTGCTTAGTGCGTGTCTCAACGTAACTCGTAGTTCATCCATGCCCCAACGTAATTGGGTGATCTTAGCGGTTCATGAATGCGACTGCGAAAGTTGGCCATGCGCATCTGCTACTTTATTCCTTCCTGTAGCGACACCTGTGGGATGAGCTCAGTAGATCTGACAATACTGCAACACTCGTACATTACTACTACTACTACTACTACTACTACTAGTACTACTACTACTATTGGTGGAACTTGCCTGCACCAGTTCCTGTGTGATGCGTTCTGATGACACGAGACTCGTCAGGGTGCAGTCCAGACGGGTTTGACGGCCTGGGAGTTTGTACTCAAAGGCAGCAAGAGCCCCAGTGACTGTGGAAAACCGCTTCAAATGCTACAAAGAACCAATTAGTTTTTTTATCATTATTCAGTATCTTCGTGATGGGTACCTGTATCTGTTTTAAAATGATTCAATAAAAAACATAGCTTTTTTTCAATTGCGGTATTTATCACCAGGAACGATATTCTGAACCCCTTTGTTCTCCATGTGGAATCGTACGGATTAACATTTTTCGGAATTAATATTATTGTTGTAGATATATGTTATAAGAACTGTTGGTAAAACTATGAAGACAATAGGATCACGAATTATTTGTATTTTTCTAGTCTTATTATTTTTTACAGTCATCAACATATGCAATACCACCCGTGAAGATCCGGGGTAGAATACGCCTTCAGCGACCCATGCTTGCCATAAGGCGACTATGCTTGTCGTAAGAGACGACTAATGGAATCGGGTGGTCAGGCTCGCTGACTTGGTTGATGCGTGTCATCGTATCCCATTCGCGACGATCAATGCTCATAATATCAATCACTGGATCATCTGGTCCAGACTAGATTATTTACAGACTGTCGTCATATAGCTGGAGTATTGCTGAGTGCGGCGTTAAACAAATAAAACATTCCACAGTTGATAATAGTTACAAGTGTGTACAGAGTGTCAAGGGAGAAATTAATACTAAATGCGTAACACGTTCAAATATTTACAGTTCATACGTTGGAGATGGCTGTCGCATGGCCTATGGAAATTGGAAGTCGTCATGACTCACTGATTGTATAAAGTAATGGGGACAATTTAGAGAGTCGTGCATGAGTTTTGGATGTACCAGATATTGATAAGGAAAAATGATATAACGTCCTTTCGAAGTTTTTGTAGGAACTAATACTGATTGATAAATATGGGTTGTTTCAAATATTAATCATTTATAAGAATATGAGGAGTACTTTGAAAATCGTGCCAAATACGCGGAAATCGTGAAACTTTGTACTTGTATTGATATTGACCTAATGACCTAACCAATAAAAAAATAAATCACAAATAATTACTTTACACACATACACATATCCGTCGATTTTGATCAAATATGTTTCCATTCGAAAAGATTTAAATCATTTTTAATTTTACATCAGATATTGATTTATATTTGATACATTTTTGCATGTTTTTCATTTCATTCTTCAACTGAGCTTTACGGTGTATTTAACGTTTAATATATTCTCCCCTCCAATTCCACGGGAGTTTGCTCCCATAATAATCCGTCTTATGGCCTGGAGAGAAGTCGAACATATTCTTGAATAGGTGCATAGTTAGTAAATAGTGCCTTAGAAGCAACCACACAGTCCACACACAGTGTTGAAATACCAAGAATAACTATCATACCTTGTGTAGTTTGGGGGAACCCATCGAACTGTCGCTATCCATGTCAGGCTCCTCTGTGGCTAGACCACCCCCCGGTATAGGGCGTTTAGGTGACTGGCTTGTTACTGGCTCAAGTTCCATTCTGGATTAGCAACGGATGATCGCCCACGCTGGATTAGTGGCCACAGACTGGTTCAGACCTCTGCATTGACAACATACAACTGCAGTTCTTTCATTGTGGTTTGAATAGCATATAACACATAATCGTATAATGAGATCCATAGTGTACAGATTATAACAGGGCGTTAACTTGGCTGCACACATTAATAGATTAGACTTATATGAAATACAGTGTGTCAAGGTTATACCTTGACCTACAAAACTAGGAGACCAAGTACCCCCAATAATTTCAAGTGTCTTTTCATAAGATTTATGTAAAGTAATGACATGATGTGCTGTACTGTAAGATGTGATAATTAGTTTAATAACAGTACCTTTCATATTCCTTGTCAGTAATTTGGTACAATGAATATTATTGTGCATCCCTCGTTACACAATATTTGTTTTATCTGAGTTCGTTCTATACATTTGTATGTCCTGGACGCACATACCTGCGTCGTGTAAACCCCTGCAGTGTGGGGTGTGCCCTACTTTCGCTCCCCCGAGTTTTAGTTTATGGATTGTCAGCTTCATACCCGTGGGTTTCACCTGAGATCGTGCTTAACGTCTGGACCTGCATCACTTGGGGCTTTCATGCCAAATTAAGCTGACATGCCGTGAAATAACTGGAAAACTGTTCAAAGCGGCGTTAAAACCAACTAACTCCCTCACTCATAACCAATATCCCACATCCCACATGCACTCGACCCGTGAGGATTCGGGTTAGAATAGGCCTTCAGCAACCCATGCTTGTCGTAAGAGGCGACTAACGGGATCTGGTGGTCAGGCTCGCTGACTTGGTTGATGCATGTCATCGTATCCCAATTGCGTGGATCGATGCTCATGATGTCAATCACTGGATTGTCGGGTCCAGACTCGATTATTTACAGACCGCCATCATATACTGAAGTATTGCTGAGTGTGGTGTTAAAGAACAAACAAACACTCCCAACACTCAGTAACCCGTCACCAATATCCCACACCGCACACCGTACACCGCACACCGCACACCGCACACCGTACACCGCAAATCGTACACCCCACACCCCACACCCTACACCGCACACTGTACACCGTACACGGTACACCGCACACCGTACACCGTACACCGCACACGGTACACCGCACACCGTACACCGCACATCGTACACCCCACACCGTACATCGTACACCCCACACCGTACACGGTACACCGCACACCGTACACCGTACACCGCACACGGTACACCGCACACCGTACACCGCACATCGTACACCCCACACCGTACACCCCACATCGTACACCGTACACCCAACACTGTATCCCCCACACCGCACACCGTACATTGCACACCGTACATCGTACACCCCCCACCGTACGCCGTACACCCCACACCGCACTCCCTACACCGCACACCGTATACCCTACACCGCACACCGCACACCGTATACCCTACACCGCACACTGCACACCGTAAAACCCCAAACCGTATACCACACACCGTAAACCCCACACCCTACAACCTACACCCCACACCGTACACCGCACACCGCACACCCCACACCCCACAGGTACACCCCACACCCTGAACTAATTAACACGGATCAGCGAGGTCGATTAGCCACTTCACTGGTGAGTGGAAGACTTCTCTTCTTAGACTTTGGACAGACAAGGTTCGCAGCACCACCTACTTAGCCCCATTGCCATGTCTTATCTCCACACGGGTAACTCCAAACAGGGATGTATATGTGTGTATACTTATCAAACAAACACGAGGACACGCATCTGAATATGTCAATACACGTACAAGAGGTAGAGTAAGTACGTTTTACTAATATGCCAAATTTAACAAGCGATGACAGGTCTGAGTGTGGTCAGTGTTGGTTAGTGGGACATTTGTTTGGTTGTTGTTTAATATCCCATCAACAATATTCCAGTTTTGTTACGGGTACCTGTAAAAAACCGAATCTGGAAATTATTGATAACTGGAACCTCTCTCTCTCTTTGTCCGTCACTCACCCCCATCTCCATCTCTTCCTATAACCCCAGGGTATTCTCTGTCGTTAGTTTCCTCTATTCCGGACAATCCCTATTATTCCCTTCTCCCTCACATTTCTGTACTTCCCTCTGCTTATCACGCCTCTTTATCCCATCCTCTCTTTATCCCTCTTTATCTCCCTCCCAGTCATCCCTCCTCTTAATCCTTCCTCCTTTCAATCCCTCCTCTCAACCCCTTCTGTCAATCCCTCCTCTCAACCCCTTCTGCCAATCCCTCCTCTCAACCCCGTATGCCAATCTCTCCTCTCAACCCCTTCTGTCAATCCCTCCTCTCAACCCCTTCTGTCAATCCCTCCTCTCAAGCCCTTCTGTCAATCCCTCCTCTCAACCCCTTCTGCCAATCCCTCCTCTCAACCCCTTCTGTCAATCCCTCCTCTCAACCCCTTCTGCCAATCCCTCCTCTCAACCCCCTCTTTATCTTAATCCCTCCTCTCAACCCCTTCTCTCAATCCCTCCTCTCAACCCCTTCTCTCAACTCCTCTCAATTCCTCCTCTCAACCCCCTCCTTCTCTCAATCCCTCCTCTCAACCCCTTCTCTCAATCCCTTCTCTCAACCCCCTCCTTATCTCAATCCCCCTCTCTGTTTCTTTTTCGCACATTATTTACTTCACTAACATATTTTTCAAACATATACAAAAAATAAGCTTTTTTCATTCAATTGTCAGAACGTAAATAGTTTACAGTATACTTTGTCACTTCACATATATCCCCAAACACACACAAAGATGATCTTTTATCATTCAATTGTCGGAGCATAAATATTTTAGAGTTCACTTGTCAACCTGGGACCCGGCCATGTGCTCACTGTTCATCACCAAGGATACGAGTCAATTTACACGCAACTGATTACGAACACCCCACAGTCACCCAGGGTATCACATCACTATATCTACAGCACATTGATTCTACAGCATGGCTTCACCACACAAATCAAGTCAACATCGATTAACAACAATGTGCATGACCTTTGATCTCCGACGAATACTTTGAAAACCTCCAAAGACCTGCTGTGCGTTTTAAATGACAGTGACAAATAAAGCTTGAATGGCTTTAAAGTTAACTTCATGGCATCAACTGACTTCGTGTTATGAGTATGAAACGGTTTATTCTCAGTGTGTTCCTTCCGAGTGTGACCACCGTGTTTTTATTGGTTAAGATACAATTTCCACCGTGACCCCTTATTGCTGCTAAAAAATCTTAATTTTAAAAATCTTAATCTTAATTTCCTTAATTTACTGCTCACATAAGTAGAGTAGATTCTACAAACCGCAATACTTAAGAATGCTTTAAAAACATCTCTGAACAGGACAGAGTTAGATGCTAATCAGTCCTTACTCAATTAATTGCAATCAGTTGTCCCTGTGTGGACACAATTCCCGCTGGGCAGGTCGGTGGCCACACTGGAAGGTTACCGTATGAAACACCACAAGAACATATCACAATAGACGTGCATATAAGCAAAGCAGCTTACCTTGATTGTGGCGTATGACGATGATGTACAAAACTACATTACTAGGTGTGTTTTAAGCCATCCTTTCATAAATCCATTCAGAGTGGGAATAACCAACCTCACTGTAACGGAGATGAACTTACATAGCGATCAAAGTGTAAGGTTCCGATCTCGATGTCATGTCCTGTTGGCTGCGTGAATATTGGCTGGGACAAGTACGGTCGATCAATGGGTAAACGACCTTCACCTTAACGGAAACCAACTTGTACGTGATGATCGTTCAACCATGTATTTCAGTATAACAGTGCCGCGACTGAATGTCATTGTGTGACACAATGCATGCTTTCAGAAGGGACTGTCTGTTGGTTCGTACGGCACATGTATAAACGCATATATACTGCCTTTGTTCTGAAAGTTCTGACCATATTTGTTTTTGTAAAATAACACAAAGGTAAACACAGACATAGGTTATATTTCCCAAGGGGTCATTCGCATGTGTTTCTTCTAATGTCGCCTAGTTACGAAACAAAACAGACTTTACCTTTGTCATCCGAAGTGGGGTATGCGTCGTACTTCGATCATCTCTTTGAACCGTATGAAACAACCCCATACCTCTTGAAACAAAAATTATAAGTTTAACCGATGAAAGTTAAGACGAATATACTATCATATACCAGGGACAATGTCGGTATGTGGTCTCCAAATATACCAATAAATTAAAGTATATATTAACAAAAACGGATATCACACTGTGACAAAAGTGTGCATTTTGAAAGTTCTAATCTCGCAGTACTTCAATTGATTCGTTAAAATGCTGCGTTATTCTCATTCGTGGAAATGACGTTTCCTTCTATTCATGAACATTTTGTATTCCCTTAGGAGAATCTTGTATTCCCTCATTCATGAGAAACGTGTTTTATTTCCATTCACAATAATAATGTTATTCTTTCATTGTCGGAATTTCTATCATGATGAGGGGACACGGGTGCCCCAGCCGTCTAAGGCGCCGCGATTCGCTGTGCAGTGTTGCGTCCCTTGGACACGCCAGAAACCTGTGATTTGGGGTTCGAATCCCGGTTCGCCCCGATTATGTTTCTAGATTTGTCAGCACCATACCTGTGCTCGTGGGTTTCACCGAAGTGGTAAACGTCTGAGACCTGCATCACTTCGGGCTTTCCTCCCACATTAACCTGACACGCCGTCATGACTGGAATATTGTTAAAAGCGGCGTCAAACACAACTCACTCACTCACTCATAATCATAAGACATCTCTATAAAAAGCAGTCCATTGTACGATTCGACTATATCATTAGCATGTGTTTAATATATTACATATATTTGATCAGGTTAAATGGAATCTTCACACTTACCTAACACCTATTGTTTAGACGCTGCAGACCAGTGAACAACGGTACTGCCCACAAACAATACAGGTAACAGTTTTTAGTTCCCTGTGACAAACGTTCCGAGCAAGCAGCTATCAGTTTGGTATATCTATATACTAGTATAGAAGTGAGATTCGCTAATGTACAGCAACTCATATATATTGACATCCACACAATAGTGACACAACGTGTTTCATTCATACCTAGACCGCCTCCGTGGTCTAGTGGTAGAGCGTCCGGAAGGTCCGGGGTTCGATCCCCGACCGCGTCATACCAAAAGACGTTAAAAGATGGTACTTGTTGTTACCCTGTCTGGCGCTCGGCATTGAGGGGCTAAAATAAGGACTGGTCGGCTCGGAGTCAGTATACTGTGTCTGAGTGGGGTATTCATGTTAAACTGCGGCATGGTATCTCAGTGAGCTATAGCACTATTAATCGGCATCAGTCCGGACTAGTATAAGCAGCCACACAAACACACACCCGTACATGCACATCGCTATATATGTGCAATAATCTTGGACGCGACGTTAAACCCCATTTCACCTCATTCATATCTGAGCCGTGAAGATCCGGAGTAGAATAGGTCTTCAGCAACCCATGCTTGCCGTGAAAGGTGACTAAGCTTGTTGTAAGAGACGACTAGCGGGATCGGGTGGTCAGGCTCGCTGACTTGGTTGACGCAATGTCATGTTATCCGGATTGCGTTAATCGATGTTCATGATGTCAATCACTGGCTTATCTGGTCCAGACTCGATTATTTACAGATCGCCGTCATATAGCTGGAATATTGAATTCATCCTATATACCGACATATTCTAATCCCCTAAAGTAACAAAATTTAAACAAATTTAAAATTGAAAGAAAACTACGGTGGCCCATAAGGGACATGGAGTCTGTTTTTCAATATTTTGATGTTTAACTTACTTTTATCTTAACCTTTTGCAAATTAACACAATCTGCCATACAAATATGTGATAAATCATGTATAAAAACATCCGAAACATAGAAAATGTACTTTTAAGTAGCTTTTGAGTCGTTGAAATGTGAAGTGAAAATATCCAAAACTAAAATGGAAATGTCAAAAACCAAAACGAAAAGGTCAAAAACTAAAATGAAAATGTCAAAAACACAAAACGAAAATGTCAAAAACTAAAATGATTACACAGAAAACTATTTCCACCGCGGTGTAAATATTATCACCGCGGTGTGAATAGTTTTCTGTATTTTCATTTTAGTTTTTGACATTTTCGTTTTGTGTTTTTGACATTTTCATTTTAGTTTTTGACATTTTCGTTTCGTTTTTCAGCGATTCAATATCTTCTTTACACATGATTTATCACATATTTGTAAGACAAATCGTGTTAATTTGCAAAAGGTTACGATAAATGTAAGTGAAATATCAAAATATGGAAAAACAGACTCCATGTCCCTTATGGGCCACCGTAGTTTTCTTTCAATTTTAAATTTGTTTAAATTTTGTTACTTTAGGGGATTAGAATATGTCGGTATATAGGATGAATTCGTTGTAGCAGTGTCACTCAGGGTACATGTGGTTTTATGCGTCCCTCGTTAGGTACTGACACACCATTTGGTTGTGTTTGTTTATTTGTTTGTTACACTACGCGATATTCCAGCTGTATGACGGCGGCCTAAATACGAGTAATCGAGTTTGGACAAAACAAACGAGTGTCTGATATCATGAGCATTGACAATTTGACACACCCCTTCAGGGTATGATTACATGAAATCAACCAAGTCACCGAGCCTGACCACCCGATCCTTTTAGTCGTTTCTTAAGACAAGTGCGCCGTTCCTCACAGGGATCTTAGCGCTAAGATTATTTTCACTTTCATAATTTAATTTAGACTTACGATAGCCGTAGTCCTTAGATCACTTTGTGGAACAGGGCATGGCATAGGTTGTTGGGGAACAATTCTCACCTGTACTTACACCTGCGTCTATATGGATTAGGATATGCCTCACGCGCAGGGAGCACCGGCGCTACATGACGTGTCCAATGGTGCCCATTGTTGACTGGTATTAAAATATAAAATTATGTAATCTATATATAATAACTGATGTAATCATAGTCAATCATCAGAACGTATTGTATAATATACAGTGTGAACCAGACACCTGTCAATCAGTCTGTAGGGAAACCTCACGTTGTTCTTGCAGTCATTCAATAAGGACACAATGAGTTACTCATTGGAGTATTTCTCTGCGGGTAGACATTGGCAGATGGTAGAACTCACAGGTAGACAACGCCTGTTTACAAATTGTAATACAAAAGTAATGTCGCATTTTAAGAAGTGTTGCGAAAACGTGCAGGGAAAATCATAACATCTCTAGCTCCTTGTTCCGTTTCACAAAGCGGTCGTAGCGTACAATTTTCGAAACGGAAACATGGGACAGACATGTTTGGAGATAACATTTTCAAAGTGCAAATAAAGTAAGTCACTAGTCTGAAAACGCCAAACACCCAGGCTCGATTCTGAAAGATAGGTTGGTTGTTTGTTTTTTTAACGCCGCACTCAGCAATATTCCAGCTATATGACGGCGGTCTGTAAATAATCGAGTCTGAACCAGACAATCCAGTGATTGATATCATGAGCATCGATCCACGCAATTGGGATCGATGACATGCTTCAACCAAGTCAGCGAGCCTGACCACCCGATCCCGTTAGTCGCCTCTTACGAGCACATCGGTAAAATTTGTTAAGCTATTATTGATGTCCGTGTTAGAATGGGTACCGAGAAACCTATCCTGGTCGTAGGAGGCGACCAAATTGATGGGATGGTCTCCCTCGGTGATGGCGTGGATCGTTGCACACAATCTCAATCACTGGATTGTCTGGTCCAGAATTGATTATTTACCAGCCACCGTCGCAAAGCTTAAATATTTCTGAGCGTGGCGTAATATAAAAAAAAAACCTAAACAAACAAGCATTCATGCACGCATGGCGTAATACGGATCGAATATAATATGTACAATATTATTGATATGAGATTTGTTGGTCAATGCACACTGGCTAATCGAGGGTGCCCATCAAACAGTTAGTTGTTGTTTAGTGGAGCGGACTGACCATTTGATATGCTCTTGGGGGGAGATCTACAGTCAACAATATTTCAGCTATTTCACGGCGGCCTTCATCTTCCCGAGGCAAGTGAGTTTAACTGACTTTAAAAGTCCAGTTTCCGCCCTTGCCGAAATAGGCTGGTATTATGGAGTTACATTTTGGCCGGACTAACGAGTCTATGCATAGTCCAATCAATATCGCGCTCCGAAATCGAAATCCGGTTCGTAATCTGTCATGCAGATTTCGGTCGATTGCGGGATTTGCAAAGCATGTGCACCGCTAACTCGTTGTGAGCAAAAAATTTCTACATCTTTTCATGTTTTTAATCAAGGTGCTCACGTGATTTGATGCACTTCGCGATGTAAGACTATTTTTGTCACAATATATGGATCTTGATTATCGATCAGATCGTCTTGACTGGGCGCCACAGTTTTGTTTGAAGCAAATGCAAGTGATACGAGAGGTGGAATCTGATTGGTTCATAGGAGAGGCATAGAAGGGACATAACTCGTAATAGCCACTGGTGGAGCTACGATCGAGTCCAGGAATTCAAGCCTAGTTCGGCAAGGGTGGAAACTGGACTTTTAAAGTCAGTTCACTCTCATGCCTCGGGAAGATGAGCGGCCTGTTAATAATCGAATCTTTCCAGAAACTACCAGTGGTTTATAGCATGAGCAACACGGTTACCGACGCGGACCACCTGAATCTACTTTTATAACATGCCATTGTGTCTACAAAATCCGTTCTAATCCCATCATCACCGGGTGTTTATAGTTAATGAGTGTCTTAATAATATGATTTAACGTCGCATTTACAA